TAGATTTTTAATTTTCATAACCTGTCAACTACTGTATTGCAAGACTAAGAAACTACATATTTGACAGATATCTGGCATCAGTGCGTTCAGAAAACCTGAATCTTTTATAATGCGATCTCCAAATTCAAAGTTATTTATTATAATTGTACTAATGTAAGGGCACACAATTCAAGTATTCCAACCTGCCTGCCAATCGTGCTATTTCAACAATATTCAATATTCGTGAATAATACCTGAAACATCAGAATAATAACAAACATAATAATAATTTTTATCTTTTTGCTGTAGTGTATCTTAAATAGGTAGGGGAAAGTGTTTTACCTATGGACATTTTCCGAATTTTGAACTAAAATAAGGTTTAATTACTTAATTTCCATTTATTAGCCGTAAATTATCACAAATGTTGTTACAGGAATAGTTAATGCTTAAGAATTAGCAGTCTTAAGTTTTTTACTAACTATAATTATTATAATAAATAACATTTTTTAAAAATACTAAATTTGTCCACAGGTACATGTTATTATTGTACCTGTGGACAGCTGTACTTGTACCTATGGACAGCAATGTACCTATGGACATATCACTTTTCCTTAGTAATAATTATTTAAAAATCAACAAAATAATCAGAGTTTCTCTTATAAAGCAACTTTAACACAAATAATCAATAATTATTGTTTTTTTTGGCATCGCAATACTTTTCATATAGTTCTAATTCAGAATCATCAGTGGCATCTGAATCACCATCGTCTAATATAAAACACTTCTCACATAGAAAGCCAGATTCATCATCTGATTCTAAATTATCTTTGTGTGCCTTTGATACACATTTCTTGTGATATTTTAAATCACATAGAGAACAATTGAGCATTTTGTTAACATTTGCCAATCTTCTACATCCCATACACATGGCATACAGCTCGTCTTTAAGAATTTTTATCTGGCTAGGGCCAGCCTTTGCCTGCACTTCAGAGGAACTTTTTGGTTTTTTCGGTATGTTATTTTTCTTATTTTTGTTCTTTTCTTCAATTTTTCTTTTATTTTCTGCCTTTCTTATTGCTTCATTCTTTATTTCGTTTTTTTCAGGTGTATCAGTTAAAATTCTACTTTTTCCAGGTTTCCTTCCTCGTCGCGTTGCCTTTCGGGGGTCTGCTTTTGGAAATGGGCGTACTGACTCTGGTGTTACTTGTGAAATAAGCTGTTTTCTCGGAGTGACTGCTGCATTTACATTACTTTTTCCACATCCACCAACAGTAGTATTTAAGAGAGGAAATTTCTAGTTGATTAACAGATTTGCTTGCAGTAGGTTCAGCTTCTATGTCTAAATTCTTTTGAAGGGTTCCGGTTAAAGATCCAGCCATATGCACATCTTCATCTACACTGTTATTAGGATTCTGTGTCTCCTGGTAGTCAATAAGAGTTTCATCTTGATTGCACTTTAAATTGATTGCTGATTCTTCAGTGACAGACTGATTTTGAGTTGTATTTTCAGAAATTGTGGTCAATGGGTCGATCAGTAACAAATGAGCACAGAAAATCTTGTTCACTGAATATATCTCTATTAAATGGGCATTACCCGTTACTTTAAAACTTTTAATAATGTTTTTGGGTGTGAACGCTAGGGGATATGCTTCGCCGACGATTTCTGAAATATCATAAATAGTAATTGGCTTTCCAGGGTGATTTAGCATCCAGTTATCAGCAGCTTTATTGTACTGCGCCTTAAATGGTCCAAACACACAACGATCTAAGGGTTGTAAATTATCTGATGTATGCGGAGGTAATGTGAGCAGAATTATACCACTATTGGCGGCTTTTTCAATAATCTCAATTGAGATATGCGTTTCATGGTTGTCCATTATTAAGAGAACCGGATTTTCTTTAGTAGGTTTGACAATTTGTATGAAATGATCCAGGTATTTTCTAAAAATAATTTCTGTTGACCATCCAGATTGGTTAGCTGCACCAACCGTACCTGGAGGAGCACCTTTTAACATATTGTCTTTAAAGAAAACTCTAGGAAAGACTATCAACGGTGGAACTGCATTTCCAATTGAATTTATACAGGCAATCATGGTATTATTTACTCCCCTTTCTGCTGATGTAAATTTACCTAGCTGTTTTATATTTTTTGGGGCTAGAACTTTTCTGGGGTTATGGACAGTTGATATTCCGGTCTCATCTAGATTGTAAATATTTTCAGGAGTGAAGTGGTATTTTTCGATAACTTTTTGGAGATTATCAAAGAATCTAGAAACATTAGCTCTGTTAAAACTACTTGCTCGCGCCAGACTGGTTGCTTCAGGCTTCCGTAGGGACAAATGAGGATGACGTTGACGATAATATCTAAGCCATCCCAACCCAGCCATATTGTTTTCGTGCCAGCCACTTGGGATGTTTTGTTTTTGCTTCATGACTGCAAATTGGTATGCCAGCTCTCTGACTTGCTTAGCATTTAAGCCCATATGTAGGTAAGCTGCTTTTTCTAAATATTTTTCAATTTGTTTCTCTTCTTCTTCATCAAATACTTTTTTCACGTCATTTCTCAAAATAGCTACATTGGTCTCGCTCAGATTGTTGTCCTTGTTCATATGAAGGTATTTAAATATGGTAGACTTTGGTATATTATATTTTTCTCCAACTTTTCGCAAAGAACATCCACTTCTAGCCTCTTTGATTGCCTCAGATAATGTCTCTGGACACAACTTACGTCGCGTTTTTCCATCCTTACTACGAGGCACTGAAAAAAGTAATAAAAAATACTTCTAAATCGTAATATTCTATTCAAACTAAAAATTTGAACTAAATTTTGTACCTGTGGACAGTCCATAGGTACATGCATTTCGATGTCCACAGGTACAAATCTGGCAGTATAACCTTAAAATATGTTACCGTCATGATAGCTACGAGTTGACATTATTATACCGCTTAAAATAGATGTTTAACGATATACACTACAGTCTGACCGAAATTAGCTATCTATATTCTGCATCTATTGACAAAAATATAGGACGACAAAGTGATAAATACTTACTTTTTTGCGCGAAAACCTTTAACAGTCTGTCACCGGTTACTCAACAAAAAACGCAAGATGGCAGCAAGTCAGTGTTGCCACGTATCAAAAATACTTTACGGATGCGTTCAATTCGTTTAATTTATGTGTTTATTTTTTAAGATATTAGTGGTGTCCACAGGTAAAACCGTGCATAGGTACAACACTTTCCCTACTACATGTTTGTTTATTTTTTCATTTAAATTGTAATTCTGCATTGTTAATAGAAATAATAAAACATATTGTAAGTACTTTGTATTATATTTAAGTTTGGGTTCGGTAAAAATACTCTCATGAGATAAATAATTTAATAATTGTGAATAATAACCGACAGACCACAAACAAACCAAAACCAGTAATCATTTTATAATGTTTCCGACACTAATTACATAAATTAGGATACTATATATAGGAACTGAAAGTATTCCTATAATTAGGAGTACTTTCAGTATTCGAAGTCGATATTAGACATACCAAATTAACTTACTAATTCCTAATATATGATTTTGAGTTATTTATTACCGTTAGCCGTTAGGTTTTATGCCTAGGAACCACAGCTCTAGGTAATCATACCTATCTCCTACTTTCCAATATTAATATTATAACAACAGACTTTTTTTGAGGGGGGAAAATCACCCAATGACTTCTCCCGCCTTGGGTGAGGCGAGAGGGAGTGTCAGACTGCCTAAAAACCACCCCGTTCCTACTCCTGCTCTTCGAGCCGGAGCCCCGGCAATCCGTTAGGCCTTCCGCGGCTCTGATAACAACAGACTTGGAAGTACAATGTCTTAAATTGAAATTTAATGTTCATATTAAATGTTATAATTAGTAAAACATGTCCAATTATTCTTACACTTGTTTGAAAAACTATCATTATTCTACAATTATCTTAATATGAATTTAATGCAGAACGGCGTGACATTGTGTTGATAAATACATAATCGATTTACTCAAATTTATAACAAATTGCATTTGTAAATTCCTATGTACATATTATAAACAAGTACCTAGGTCCATTGTACAACTGTGTATGTATGTATATAGGTAATATTGTATGTAATTATGTTATTTGAATTGTGTACAATAAACAATTAGTTGTTATCATTACAGTGGGCAGGTCAACCTACTCATTTCTGTCAAACTTCTTTAGTAGATTTTCAAGTGTATTATTTAGGTATAAAGTCGAAAATCCAATGAGAAGAATTCACACTTTGGAGAAGTTCGATGTGGTCACTGTACTTCTGTTTTAGCTTGTGAGGGTACGCAGAAATCACATATTGTCACTTACGTACCTCTTTTTCGATATCTTATAACTTTGTTTATATATCTCAAATATAAGAGTCTTAAATAATGGAAGTAAGTGTCTAATGCAGAAGTTACAACTTGATGTATGCGGTTTGCAATCGTTGGCAAACTACTTCACGAATACTTATAATAAACTAATAACGAAATCATTTGTTTGTTTAGAACAACTTAGTTCAATATTTTGATATCAATAGAAACAATTTAGTACCTAAAGTATCGAATTATCAAATAGGTGTACATATTTTATAATAAGTTTACTTTGGTAATAAGTAATTTACTATAGTGGTACATGAGTATTTACATGAAGGTATGTATGGAAGGCTACTACTTGCTATTAAATGCATCATACATTAAAATACCTCTAAAAAAACTTTGTCACCTTCATATTTATCCGAGTTGGTATGTCGGCACGTATAAGATCACGTTCCTCGTTACATGTCTATTAACTAATGGCTTGTTAAAATCCCATTCTGTTGCCAAGTAAATAAATAAACTTGTGTTTATACGCAATGAGATGGGTAAGCGGTGCGTAAGCTACAGATTACGGAGGTTAACTTATGCAGTAAGGTCACCGGAGTTTAAAAACATATATTTTTTCATCTCACTTAAAGTTTAATTACGTGTGAATAAGACAACAAGTACTCACGTCCTCCAGCATTTGGCGATGACGCGATGAGAATGCACGCGATGACAACCGTCCCCTCTAGCAGGCTCTTCATCATTTGGCACTTGTGTTACAACAAAATATAAAACATTAATTCGAAACGAGTCTGTTAACAATATAGTTGTCCGGTGGACGGCCCGTGCACGACTGATAGTTCAGTTAACCGGCCCTGACTAGCCGCCACCACACTCTTAAGGTTATCAACAATAAATATTTTTTGAAAATGTGAATAGCTGTGATCATGTTGTGATGACGCGTGTTTTATTATTATAGACAACGCTCGTCTTAGTTTAGGATTTTCCTTATGTAAAGACACAAGTTTTATGTGGTATTTGTATAGATTTTAGTGTTATTTTCTCGTATGTTTAAATTAAATTATCATTGTCGGCATTGGCGTCCAATTTGGTCTCAAGATTTATTAAAATTTGGTTTTGAATTGAAACAATATTGTATTTGAGAAATATGTGAGTTTAACACGTGTATGTAATTATACTTACCTGGTCGGAGGTTGTAATGCCTTCTATGCGCGACTAGTACCGTTCTGCATTATGCTGCATTATATACAATTCGTCGCGAACTTGTGTAAAGTTATTGCTTTATGTAAGTTTAATCGACAATTTGGGCGTCGGGCTACCGTGATTCGTCGATACTAAGATCAATCCTTGCACTCTAACTTGACAGCATTTACTGAACTATTTGCATCAGTCTTAGGTACTCTTCATTTAAAGTCATGGACTGTAGAATGTAGTATAGAAACCTACAGTATAAATATATTTTTTCATTTTTCTCTAAATCTCTCTAGTCTAGACACTAGCATACTATACTAACGTATCTTCTTTATATTTTAAATTGTATCCAATTATATCACTGGTATCAAGTAAGTATTCGGTAAGGTGGTGAGAACAATACTTTTTAATTATATATCGATTAGTTACGGTTATATTTACATGAAAATATAATGGTTATTTTATTCTAACACAACTACTATGCTTATACAAGTTATTATATATACAAGGTACTGTTTAAACATCCATTACGCGTTATTCAATAAAAATTATAAATAATTAATATAATTCGCAATCCAGTGGCGTAACTACAGGATGGCAAGTCGATAAAATGCTACGGGTCCCCAGCTGGAAGGAGCCCTTTCAGGGGTTTTCATCTGAACTTATTTTTTTATATTAGGAACGGGGAGTTATCCGATGAATTTGCCACAAGTCCTGAACGGTATAGTTAAGCCACTGTCGTAATCCTTGTATTATATTAAGTCTTATTAGGAATCTCTCTGCCTATTTTTCATTCTCATCACGAACTCATCTCGTAATTGGCCAACATTTTGCTATCTGGATTCAGATTATCAACAATAACAAGAACTAATCTCCATGGATTAATAGGTTGTACGGCTTGCTCACGTAACTGTACGATAAGGTTACTCGACTAGTTTCGAACTAGGTCTGGGACTTATAATCATGAGAAGCAAACGCGTGAGTAATCCGTACAACTTTATTAATTTATGGAGAATCCAAAAATAAAAACTTACATGGAAAAACATATAAAAAGCTAAAATCATAATCGTTCCGGTCACATCCTTGATTCCTTTTAATTATTTAGGAAACTAGTATTAATTGTGTTCGACCGAAAATGATTATTTTATGTAAATGTGTGTTTTTTCTGTTATCACGTTCACGTTAAACGTGTTTTTCTAATATCTATTACAGACTATAAATAAAGGAATCATCTTCAATGATTTCAAACTGTGATTATCTTTACAAAACATTATAGACTTGGTCTAATTATACATCTTAAAATCATCGATATCAGTATTAGTAAGAATAAATGTGTATTGATGTATTAAATCATTATACATCTATTCTTATTAAATCACTTAAATCAAATCAGTAGTTTTTTATTTATTGATATTTTTGTAGTTCGGTCGGGATTTTTTCAACAAAAACCGAAAATGTTGAATATCTCAGACATTAGCCTCTATCGGCTATCACTAGAGACCTCAAGGCTAATTTTGTAGGAAATTAGTTGTATTATCACCTCCCGAGAGGAATACGTTGAGTTACAAGTCACCCTTAATACTTACTACTGATACGTGTCTTTATTGATACGTAAATAGAAACTAGACACATTTTTAATGGGTTTGCAGTGAGGTTAATTAAAAGACTGGCAAGTCGTTAAATGTGTAACGTACTGTAGTTGATACACATTTTAACAACGCATATTGACTATTAGTTTAACCACCAAAGTAAACAAGGAAGATAACAAATAATTTAGATACACAAGGTGTTGTTTTAAAGCCGCGTCATTTTCTAGGAGGTAACTCGGCTATCGATTCTGGGCCCGAATCAATAAAAAAAAATTGTAGGTAAATACTTTTTATTTTTCTGTAAATTACGGAAATCCGTAAGAGCGAACTACACGCCGCCGTCTTGTAACTAGCTTTATAGCGCGGCTTAACATACACCAACTCAAACACGTAATTGATATTATTCCTAATTCCATAAAACTTCAATAAGAAACATTGCTATCGCTTATTCTGAAATACTGTCAATTTAAACGATTTATTATAGCCGTATTTTTAACTATTGGCCCGAAACTTTCACTTACATTGAACCTTTATGACTTCTGTGACATGCCCCCGAGAAATGACACGGCTTCAAACTTCACCTTGTATAAGTACCTATTTGTATGTTAAGTGTGAAAAATTCAAGCTCAGTGTTCCATAAAAGGTCGTATTTACTCATTAATTAAATGTAACAATACAAACCTTTTGACAAGTCGGAAGGGATTCCCCGTCTGGCTGACACTTATACCGGTTTCCTTCAAGTAGATCTAGTAAGGAATTATTTATAGTTGCTCCGTATTTTTTATTGTCTGGGAAACACATTGTTTATAAGACTCATTCGATAAACTTTGTTTACTAGATAAACTTTATAATAACACATATTATCACCTCTGCCAACCATCATACAGAGAGTTGGCAGGCCACAACTGTGCGCTTCTCACGTAGCTTTCTGCATCGAACAGCAAAACTGTGGAATGTTCTGTCATCTGCTGGATACGACCTTCAAACCTTCAAGAAAAGAGCGTATTCCTTTTAAAAAAGGCTGGCCGTTGCCAGGAGTCACAGGTGCGTTTACCTGTGACTCCTGGCAACGGCCAGGAGCTCTCTGTTTACAGATAGCAGACGCGTGTGTTTTTCTAACTTAGAGAAATAGAACTTAATTTCAACATAATTACTTTATAACCTTGACCAATAATGAGGACAACAAAATTACAAAAATAAGTACAGCAACAAATAATACTGAAGCAAACAAACACAAAAGCATCAGGCGTTTATTTAGGAACACGTTAAATAACGGTAAAATGAGGTGAATAGGGATCAAGTTGTAAATAGGGAAATAAGAGGGGTGGATCGATACTATGAAGCATTTCCCAATATCTATTCACCCCTCTTCTGTCTCCATTCACCTCTTGATCCCTATTCGCCCCATTTTACGGTACTACAAATTGGTCACAGTTCAATATAATGTAACAGTTTTGGTTTCTATTAGATTAACATTTCTTGGGCTTCGGCTTGCAGCGGCGCTTTCTTTGATTATTGATATGGCGGGTTATGTCATTGAAGAGCTTAAGTCCTATGGTGAACCATAGAACACTTTTAAAGAGCTCCCAATGAAAGCGGTCATTGCGTAGTCTCCTCCAGAATGTGCAAGCGTCCTCGATGGACTTGCATATTGCTAGTTTCAAGGACCCACAATAGCTGGCGGCACACTGCGAAGAAACAATACAAACGGTTGCTTTATCTAATGCGAAAAACAAGACACAAAATTCTTGTTTTTTTTAATAAAAGTTGCCCCAGCCTTGAATTTTATCGTGGGTGCATTTTAAGCGTACAATTTCACGTGCATATGACACCCCGATCAGAAACAACAATTTGTGGATCACTCAAAGAGTTGCTCCATGCGGGAATCGAACCCGCTACACGTTGCACAGCAGCATATAAAATCTATATGTTCTATTCAATGTTGAAACATTTTTTTCAAACAGAGTCAGTATACAATTTCGAATCAAACGTAGATACAAATAATCACACCATTCCATTTGGCTATAGAGATTACACAGATTATATTTATCTAATATAATGTTTGTCTCAAAAACTAAGCTATCTATAGAATACAGTCATTTTCAGTTCTAAGAGATAACGTTAGAAATATATTTTTAGCATTGAAAATGCACAAATTAGTGAACTGTACACCTATTTAATAATCTCACTACTTCGGATCAATTTACGATTAAGTACTACGATTTAAAGCTCCATCAGCGATTTTAATAACCAAGTTCGATGATTAGTGATGTGATTAAAAAAACCACAACGACTTTGGCACAACTTGCGAAAATTTGGTTTTAGCTAAACGAAAGTTTGACATCGTGTACCATATCAAAACCTCTACGCTTCTACGCAGCGTCTACGCTATACGCTACATCAGTCAGTTTCTACGTGGCACCTACGCTTACTCTAAATGGCTCTACATGGGTCCTACGCTCTGCTACGCATTCTCTACGTTACGCGGTGCCTACGTGTTGTCTACGCGGCGCCTACGACTCGTCTACGCGGCGCCTACGATTGGTCTACGCAGTGCTTACAATTCGTCTACGCGGCGCCTACGACTCGTCTACGCGGCAACTACGATGCATCTACGCGGCAACTACGATGCATCTACGCGGCGCCTACGATTGGTCTACGCAGTGCTTACAATTCGTCTACGCGGCGCCTACCATTCGTCTTGTGTAATATTTGTAGATACTGCAACGACTTTATTTGTTCTATTTAATTCCTTTAAAATTCATTGAAAATCACTGTCGTAGACAACTTCTGCTGCTGATGATGATGATGATGATGATGATGATGATACTTCTAACTTAGTAGGTTGATGCATTCTATGAACTACTTACAATACAAAAAATAATAAATTAAAGCGGCTTGCCGTACTTGAAACTGAAACAAAAAACATATTATCAAACCTTTATGTCTTTAAAATGAAACTTAAGGTTCCAGAAACAACTTTTGGTACTATTATTTACTACATTACTTGAATAAAATTATAAAATAACAAAAAACTTATTTTACAGTTGCATTTGTTCAAGTATTACATTACAGCTGCGCAAGTAACTCCTAGGGACTACGCTGTTACAGTTACAGGAGTGCTGTTACATATACTTACTGCGTCGGGAGGAGGATCAAAGGCGTCTGTGTTGTGGTACCGGCGGTCATATCGTCTGTCACGTCGTGCTGAGCCGGACCTTCGAGAGTCGTCATTCTCGCCTACGATTGAGCCGTTGCTATCTCGCCTTGAGCGATATTCGCCATCACTGTCGTATCCCCTGGTCCTGCTGGCGCAATAAGGGAGGTGACATGCACACATCACACATTTAAATTGATTTCTATGGCCTTGTTTTAATTTAACATGTTTTGGAAAAAAGTTAGGTGTTGCACTATTGTTGTATCATTGTTGACAATTTCTTATTTGACACCTCAACGTCAAGGGAACTGTCTGTGGCTCTATGATGACATTAGATATAGAGGTAGTATTTCAGCTTTATGATAGCCTTATGCGATCCATAAAAGCCAACCTTAGAGCCTCAGGTTAAAATATGTACGTACTAAATATTTTTACTTCGTTACAAATAATCTCACCTTAGATACCTCTTGCCGGGACTACAGACAATCTTATGAGTTACCGCGGCTTCCACTCAAAGCAGGGATAGAAAAGAGGCGGTTTTTGGTCAGTAAGTCTGACAGAAGAAGTCATTTGTGGATTTACCTCCTCCAAAAACCCTAGATATCTCTTGTGTTAAAATTTTGAATGCTAGAAATTATTAGGTAAACTTACTCTATAGTTCGTTCTTCCATTACAATAAAATATATTTAAATGTATATAAATTTCAGTTATATCAAAATTGAAACATGCAAATATAATTGTTTATAAAATTTAGCTGCAAAAACATAACCAACTCGATTGCAAAAAGGTAAAATAAATGTGGTCACTTTATGCAAAAGTTAATATTCTATTGCGCAATGGTTTACGAGTAATTAAATTGAGTGGAAACCTCTTTATCTCAATTTTCATTTAAATTTCACCCAACGAGATTAAATCCAGTAAAATTTATTTTATTTTTCGCAGTAATTCGAGAGTTATATGCGTGTATTTACAAATTGTTAATATTTCAAATTTACTTTACTTGTACCATGAGTACCATTGTAATTAATCAATTCTAACAGGTGTCCCGTTCTTAGCATATCATCATCAAGCCTTTTATCCCCGATATGGTAGGCAGAGGTGCACATTATGCCACTGTACAATGTAACACCCACTTTTCACTATTTATGTTAAAGGTATACCGGACATTGCCATATACCGGACTCTGTGCTACTACTGAGATTTTTTTTAAAACCCAAAAATACTTTGCTCGCCCCGGGAATCGAACCCGAGACCCCTTGCCCCTCGGCCAACGAGACAGCCTGTAATATGTTAAACAAATGTTGTAAATAAAAACAAAGGTATAATTTTAGAATATCATTTACTGTAATAAACATGTCTTTTCAATAAAAATACTAGACTAGCTTTCTTAAGATAAACTTAAAGAAGAGAAATACAAATAAAAGTTACCGCACATATAAAATTCACGTTTCGTGACTAGCAATAATAAGTAATAATAATAATCTTGTCATAACACAAGGAAAATACGGCACACAAGTCCAAGATAAATGCTGCACAAGCTGCACCAAGATTTAAAGAAATAATCGAGCTTTCCAGAGCTGCAATACTACTCATAATATTATGTCAAAATGTTTTATATTTAAATTAAGTTTTCTATTCCATCTGCCATTACATTTTCCATTAAAAACATGATTTGTACTTATGCGCTTATTAGTTATCTCAATTCTATGGATTGTGTAAAAGTACAAAAAACCATTTACAAATAAATATAATTTATTTTGACTTAGGCATAAGAAATTTTCGATTTCATTTTATTATAAGAGAGTGTTTTACACATCTGTGATACCAATTCAACAATTGGTAAACAAACCTTGGATAGCACTACATAGTTACACTTAGCTATAAAACTGTCAATAAATTGTTTTTATTTGTTTTGCAAAGGTCTTTCAATATATTCAAAACCAATTCTCTCTTAAGAATACCAGAAATAGTACCCGTATACAAACAAATGTGATTCAATAACTACCTAACATATACTATTCCATTTCTTCCTGGTATTTATTATACATTAGCTTCCCCATAAAACATTATTGGGGTCAGTCCAAAACATTTAGAGTATTTATTCAGTTTTATTATCAACCGTCGTACATCAGCTCTGGATATTATCCAGAATCCAGTTCATATAGTAAGCTACATTAGTGTAAACACCTGGGAATCCTCCAAGTCCACATCTCTTAGAGCCGAAGGAGACGATTCCTCTTTGAACATACCGCACTCCATAGTTTCCCATTTTCCCCGGGAACATGAGAGGTCCACCTGAATCTCCTCCGCAGGAATCCTTGTCTTTAACACCACCGGCACATATTTGAGTCTCTTTTAACTTGAGCGAGCTGTAATAAAAAGATAAAGTCGACTGTTATAACTAAAGATGCTTTTGACTATATTTAAGACAAGTGTAGGTACTTATTAGTTTGATATAAATTGTCTTTGCAAATTGTTATCAGCTGCAGATTTGGTACCTACGTCAAGCTAAGTCTCATCGCACCGCTTCGTATAGTATTGTAATCAAATGTTTTTATTTCATATTTGCAGAATAATTTAATACTTGAACCAAACAATACTAACTCTCTGTAAGCAGTCATACAGTCAGTATTACTGATGACTGGAAGGTCGACGCTCAGCAGTACGGATGACTCCAGGCCGTCTTCCGTCACTCCCCACCCAGCCACTACGGCGTTCTGACCTATTAAGGACTCCCTCTGGAGCTCAGAAGTCACTGGCAGACACACCGGTTTCATACTATCTGCAAAAATATTACATTTTAATTAAAATTAAGATTCACCGATCAATTTCTTTAATGACAACACGTTAATAAGTCAATGTTGTGTTGTTGTGATTCAATATAATGTTCGGGAAACCATATTATGCAATATCTACCAACTTACCAAGACTGAAATCAGCTGGTTCAGCAAGTCGTATTAAAGCTATGTCGTCAACCAAGCTCTGAGGGGTGTACCCAGGATGAGCAATAACTGACGCTATCGACACGTTCTGTAAATATAAAAATAATTAATAAGCATTATCAGTTGAGACTAAAGTTATTAATAAATTGTTATGATCGCGTTCAATAGTCAGTACATTTCTTAAAGCTGAATTCATCTCCTTCTGGCAAAGGCATCTATCTACATTAAAAAGCCACTTAACTCGAAACTAAGTTTAATTTACTCACCCTAATATTCGGAGCACAATACTTCTTGCCATCTGACATCTCACAGTCAGGATCCTGTTTAACGTCATATTCGCCAAGGATGACTCCATCCAGCCGTAGTCGGTTGCCCAAGAAGGAGACGCAATGGGCAGCCGTCAGAACATACCTCTCGTTGATCAGGGAACCACCGCAGCTCAATTTAGGTCCTCGAGCTGGAAATGTAAGATGATTTTTGAAAAAAAATACAGTATTTTCGTTGCTGTAATCAATCTGTGGAATGTTTTTTTCTTTCATCAAAGATAGTTAATATTATGCCATTACCTAAATCATTCCTTTTATCCCCTAATGAGATGACAAGAAATAAAGCTAGAAATGTATTTATGTGTTTAAAGAGCAAACCTGGTTATAGTCCATCCATGAAAATGAGCATATCAAGAATAATTACAAGTTTTGATATTCGGTGGTCGCCCTTTTGACCACTGCAAGAATGCAATCAACTAAGATTGAAAAAGTCATAATCATCATGCAAAATGATCTTAATAATGAGCTTGCTTTGATTTGTCATTGCTTGTTTTGTCATTAAGAAATATACATTGAAGAGTACTAAAATCAGACTCTCAAGAAGTTGTTTACTTTACGTTCGACCAATGTGATTACGTTCGAAACTTTACGTTCGAAAAGATGACTCATATCTTTATACTCATATGTGTACTTGGACTGAAGAGTTTCTATGATCTTGTTAATCTCTAAATTAAATAGTGTAATGAAAAAAAATACTATCGTTACTTTCCAATTGTGGGTTAACGAAAATTGTAGTTCGATACTTAGAAATGAAACATCAGGGTAAAATTAAAGAGCAGGCATTTTCACGCCTATTATACTCTGACACCTATTAAGTGACTACCCATAGAAAACTGTTGAAGGCAAATCCTCCGCTAACGTGGATCACTGGTGAACCTCATGGCGTTAAGCGATATCGCCAGAGTCGTGGGGAGCCAATGGATGCTGGTGGCGAGTTGGCGTTCAACGTGAAGGCCTAAAGGAGAGGCCTTTATACAACAGTCTACAGGCTGATAATAATGATGAAACTCTGACAGAAGAGTAAATATAACAATAGAATTTAATAAGAAACAATATCCTACCTGAATCATACGACAAAAGCACCATCCATGGCATTTCATACAGTCGTGTTCTATTGCCTCCCCATATTCTATCACTTTCTATGTTACCACACTGAAGTGGTAGAAGTCCCAAGTTGAGATGACTCTCTACAAAGCTGGGACCATTCTTATTGTCGAGGGTTCCTCTGGTATACGCTTCAACGTCGTCTCCAGACCCCACTGTATTGGAATTGCGGTCTGGACTTATGATGTCTCCATGCATTTGAGCTGATGTTATGCAGCAAACCTGGAAATTAATACTTTTTTATTAGTTTAACGAACAGTATATGGGTTTGTAGCCATGTGGCCATGGGCGGCACTGATCGCTTACTTAAGTTAGCTTAGGCTTAGGTGATACTTCTGCTCGTTTACGTCCTATTCCACAGAAAAAACTTGTTTATACACTAGCGACCCGCCCTGGCTTCGCACGGGTGCAATATGCATACATATGAACCTGCCTTAAGAATCACTCTATCTATTAAAAAACGCATCAAAATCCGTTACGTATTTTTAAAGATATAAGCATACATAGGGACAGACAGACAGCGGATAGGGACTTTGTTTTATACTATGTAGTAATAAATATGTCCATGTCCATTCAACTATGCGATTGCATTTATGATCATAGTCTCAATATCTAAGTTTGGGTCAAACAAGCACAACAATGTAGAGAATCTGTACTATTTCCCATATGTCTACAGTAGTGTCTATTACTTACCTACATAGACAATCTTTCGGTATTTTAATATAAGTCTGTCTACTCTCGTGACACACATTTCTCATTGTTTCATTTAAAGATACCTACGAACATTCTGTTTGGATTGTTTTAAAAAATAAATTATAACAATACATAACAATATCATCTCATTTCTCGAGAATATACTACTTATCTGACTCATTTACATACTATCAACTGACCTTCTAAGAAAACATTAATTTCGGAAATTCCCACGAAACATGTAGTAGGCATATAATTAATAAGGATTTCATAAAGTAATTAGATGTGTCATGATTCCTTTGTGAAAACTTGGACAATGAACTTGAATAACCGTGCTTTTATTAAATAAATACGGTATTTTAACATAATACAAAGCAAGGTAACCCGAAAGAAGGAACCGTTAAGTTTGTTAACAACATTTTATTTGAAATGTAGATAAACATTGTACAAGACCTGGATACAGAGTCAAAATTAATTATACTGTGAAGTAGAACATTGGCCTGTTACATTGGACAAAAGAAAATAAGTAGGTATCTAGTTTATGTCGACGCAAAAGATAAAATAAATATAAAAACAACATAAAGATCAGCAGACAATATGCAGCTGATTAAATTTCGAAATATTTTTAAATATTTATAATAACTTCTGTCTGCAGTTTCCTATACTTTTAATTAAAATAGTGATGATCTAACTAGTAATTAAATATTGTGTTATAAAATTGTACTTAATTACGATGATCGAGTATTTAATACTAGTTAATTAAACTATGCAATAAATATATGAAATGTCAAACAGTCTATGAATAAATATCTAGGAGCAAGCAAGAGCTAGGATACAGTAGTTACCGTGGTTAGGAGTGATGATAACTGCAAGATGGCTGGATCTAATTCGATGCGTAATTAGATCGAGCTTTTTGACATGCTATTCGAAAAGTCGGTGTCTACGTCTAGTCTCGACACGACTAGATTGTACGTACGAGTATTGTTACCCAAGAACACTTAGCAGCCTTAGTTTACTTAGCTCCTACTGGATCGTAAAGGGCAGTCACTATAGTGTAAAGCCCTGATAATTAGTCTCCATTAAGATAAAACTGTCAATCATGACTTAGTAGGGAAAATAAAAATACCGAGAGGGGGTTTTTAGAACAAGATTCCGGGTAAAAAATTGTAATATTTTTATTGAATAGAGGGCAAACGAGCAGGTTAATTGCCTTCCGGCTATCGGGTAAAGCGATTAAGGATGGGACACTAGCAACTTCAGAGGAGTTTCCGACCTTTTCCAGGGGTGGAAGTACCTCCTTCTACAATCTCCTCAATCTCCAATTCTCCAATAACCCTCAAATTCCTAATCCCCACAAGAGTGGCAATGCACTTGTAACAACTCTTCTGTTTCGGGTGTCCATGAGCAACACCGATTGCTTACCATCGGGTGATCCCATAAAAAGGAAAATCCCTTTTATCCTAAAGTTGTGAAGGTTGAAGGCATGAGTTAGAAAATGGAAAACATAAATTAATGTCTTACCATAGGCATTACAGCTTCAAAACCGCAAGTCAGTGTATGTAGTTTGTGGCTCATGTGTGGTGGTATGGGGTTGCCTGCCCTCATGACTTCCTCGAAGATGTGGCGACATTGCCGCAGGGGTAAGCATACGCCAAACTCATTGCCAACAGAACAGTTGTCTCCGGAATATACTGAAACAAAAGAGTATCTATTCAGACTTAAGTTCCTGTAGGGGATATAGGTAACGTAAATGTATGTAAGTACTTAATCATCGTCTAGTTATTTGGTTATTATAATATGAGTAACTTTCCAAGTAAGTAATGTTTGTATTTACTCATATGGCGTAAGAAACTTTTCTCATTTTCTTTGTAATATTTATACTAGTTAAATACTGTTTTAGAGTTTTTATGACAACTAGCGTTATTTCCTATAACTCTAATCCTGTTCGCCTTGAAAATACATATTGGAAATTCCTATTATGGTCTCATCTTAGTATCATTTTTAAGCAGAATATTTCGTCTGTAGACCTTTGACTGGGTTAAACAGTCAGTAAACAAATCAATTAAATGTTTTAATTACTTGAATTAATAGAAAAGAATATATATAATTTTTCGTTTTGAACAATAATAGTAGGTAAACTTGTCTTTTATGTTGCGAGCTCACCAATGACGCAAAGGTTTTATAATAGTAACTCAAAAGGCGATGGATCGGAACAAATGCTATAATTGTATTAAACTGTCAAACACCAAGCGGTCACCGGTGACCGCGACCCATTGTTCTTTAATTGTGTCTATAAAACCGGTACTCGACGAGTTAAACTATGATGAACTGCGATTCCAAGACATTTGCAGACAAATATTTATAATTCACGGGTTATTTTACGAGCTATTTTTCTAGGAAACGTGTCAGGAGATCTACATAGAACGAAATTCACTATTGTATTATGTATTTTCGGATTGCCCCGTTAGTCATGGTCTCAAGGTTTTATAAAGTACATATAGTATGGAATATTGCAATTTCATTATTCTCTGTAATAGCTGGAACATAGATTTGTGTCTCTTATGGTTCAATACTCAAATGTACTCAAAAGTATTCAAGTACAGTTCAGAATTGTGTTACATTTCAGTGTTCAGGTTTTACACTATATAGCATGTAATATCGTCATCAGCCTAACCCACTCCACTGCTTGACTAAGTTCCTTCTTCTATTGAGAAGATTTTGCCATAATTTCTACTTCACGTGCGTAGCCGGCGGGACATACAACTTCTACGAAAGAGGCCGTTCTGCAGTGGAATATGGTATTATCAATGACGATGGTGATGACACTGTTATCCTTTTGACATTGTTATAACAAATTAGGTACATATATGGATAGAAATTATTATTGCAAAATATTTCAGTCTGTTCTATTTTTAATGGCATTCGACAACCATTATATCACACTAGTATTATATATATGAAGTTTCTTTGTTTGAATGTTTCCATGTTTGTTCATCAATCACGCTGAAAGTACTGAATGGAGTTTCATGTTTGGTACACAGGCAGGGTATGGGCTGACTTAAGTGATACGATACTTTAATCTAGTTAGCTATTTTGATGTTCGAACGAGATCACCTTGGTATTGGTTCAATCCAATAAATGGAGATGGACTCGTGACGCTTAACTATCATGTAGGTACTTACAATTAAAGGCAATTTCTGCGTAGAATTGGAACGAGTAGTCAGTCAAGTAATTTGGTTTTCAGTAAATAAATATTGATTCAGAAAAGAGAAAGTAGTTATTGACAAATTAAATCATATACTTTTTACTGCCTCGTTGGCCGAGTCTCGGGTTGGTCTTTGCAGGTTTCGGGTTCGATACCCGGGTCGCGGAAAGAATTACTGAGCTTAAAAAAAATCTCAGTAGAAGCACGGAGTCAAGAATTGTGCCCGGTATATGGCAATAGGCTCACCCCCTATTACATGGGACTCATAACATAAATAGTTAAAAGTGGGTGTTACATTGTGCAGTGGCGTTAAGTGCCATAATGTGCACCTCTGCCTAACCCTTTGAGGATAAAAACGTGATGTTATGCTTTTTAACGAAGCCAAATCTTCACAGAAACGTAATGGTTGGCCGTGAGTAATGTTTACTATCTCTGAACTGATCAATCCTTATTTTCTTACCTGCATGCCATGCCAAATAGCTTGACTGGTTGCATACATAGTATTAAATACTATATATTACTATACATACAAGTATTTGACTGTATATTTAGGTAAAAATATTTTCGGTTAGCTTGGATACATAGTGTTGAGAAGTACCTATTCTGTAGGTTTTGACTGAATAGTTTCTCAGACGAAGTAGGTATCTGATTAAAGGTCATTGAACCTGTCCTTTATTACTAAATACTGGTATGTAAATTATGTATCTAGGTCTGTTATGATTTATGATGTAACAATAGTTATGTATTATGTATGATTAGCTGTTTTTTAGGACTAATATCGATAGTTATATCATATAAATGTTTGTGTATATTATTTCCCTACATATACCCAGTAAGTATGTATGTACAATGTACATAAATAAATATGTAATAAAAAATGTACTTACTAAAAACTTACCTAACACATTTATTACGTTAGCCTTTAGTTACAATAATTTCACATTATTATTTTTATTGATTCATGTCCACATAAACAAAAACATTATTGAATAAAAATCAATATAGAAAATAACATGTTTAAAGCTATTTTATTATTGTCAGGTAATGTTTATATGGTGTTTGGTAACCGTTATTAAATAGGTACGTTTTTCCTGTATTTATAAAGAATTAACATACATTATTGATGTTTTATGTGTTTGGCATAATTATAGGTATTTATAGTTAACTCCACTCAATGTTTATCGACGCACGAGTGTTTATTGTGAATTAAATGTAAACACACTACATATTAATGACGATGGTACTTTAGTTTAAAGTATTCATTCAATACTTATATGTCCTACGTTCAGTTACATTATCTTACTGTGTTCCAAACTAATCAAGCTTAGTGGATATCTAATTATGCCTCAATTAAACGCGGTCATAAAATGGCTCTAATTAATAAAATGTTCCGATTCATCGCCGTCTCTAGTAATGTGTCAGGTGTAAAATCAAATCGTACTTACAGCATTGCACTTGTAGCAGTAATTGAAGGAACAGAGTCACGGTTGTCGCAAACTTCAACATTTTTAATTATGGGTCAATCACTTTCTTATATCGATTTTAAATAACACGTTCACTTCACACACGATACAAACACTCACAATATTGTCGAAGAACTTGTACTAATTATTTATTTTTATTTATTTAATTGTCGTAGTCTTTATAAAATTAATTGTCTGCGAGGATTCGTTATCCGCTGATAAAGTCCGGAGTAGAATGAGCGCCGGTTCGTTTTATACGAGTTTACAAACTCCGGTCACACATGTGTCATTTTCCTTGTGTTGTTGTTTTTTATCTCTTTTCAAACTTGTAATTTGTTTTATAAGGTAAATTGAGTATAGGCGACACCGTTCAAATGTGGAGATGGACAAGATGACGTCGAGGGTCATCGACGACTAGATAAACGAACCGGTCATTACCATACTAGTTCCGCGGGGGAAACATACTTAACTATCTGTCGCCATTTTCTTACTCACATGTACCTACTTTTTGCAAAAAATAATCTCATTTCGTTCCTACATTAGTGCCGGTGAGATGGCATATATTTAGCCTCAAGCCTTCTAGCTTATTTGTACTGTCATTGCAGGTTACTTACCCCCATATAACTAGTTTGCCGAGTACATAAATAAACAATATTAATAACTTGCTGCGAGATGACAGTCGATTTTTACTGTACATCGAGTAAAAGAAATGATATTCCTTTTTGTAATTCCAAACACGCTCCCTACAGTTCCGTTTTAAACGGTAATTTAATAAATTGTTATGATTTTTAAATGCTATAATAATAATTATGGTAGTTATTCGATGTGGTTTCCAATCAAACTGTCCTTGTTAAGAACGAACAAACAGAACTTTTAGAATAGAAGTTTGATTTTGATCAATTTAATTTCAATAGAATGAACCTATCTCTTATTTTAGATAGGTAATAACGTTTTGTGATCTATTTATTGTGGTTTGAATAAGTAATGGCTGCGAGAAGAGGGAGATATTGTGATAATCATGCGTCAATAAGTAAAAAATACTTATTAGGTGCTTTCACTTAGAGGTTACGAAAAGGGAAACTTTTGACGCTATTTATGAAATCAAGATTGTACATTTTGATATTCCTCGTAATTTTTATAAAAAATTAAGATCGATCCTGTGATTTTTTGTCAATATCAGTTGTTAATTCCCAGGGTTTATTTACATTTATAGTACCACAAAATTTTTCACAAATCTACGAGATTAAATAATAACTGAATGTTCCGATAATGAAGTAAATGGTGTTTTTCTTCAAATTGTAGAACAATAAGAAATACGAACGATACATATTGAAACAATACATTTTGAAAATAATGATGCAATTTGTCAGGTGTTGGTCAGTTTATTACTAGTGGGTGTTGATATTGTGAATTCATAATCAATTTTCAAGGTACGGCTTTAACTAATTCAATTTGATATAGCCTCGGATATAAGACATAAATACGTTTAGATAAAGTCATAAGTTTGTTTGTCATGTACTTTATAAAATAAGATAGCTTTTGCCCGTTTCCTTAGGACAGTAAACCTTTCTAGGTTTAGCTACGGAACGCATGGAACCTTTCAATCGTTAGTCTATGTAAAACCAAAGAGTTTCCATTTCCGTTACTCAGTGGGACCCACCTTTAAGAAAAATAACCGTTTTCAATATTAAAAAATTAAATATGGAACGACCCGTTGGAGCTTCCATCGTTCGACAGACAGGACATCGGTACGAAATTCACTCGATTGCATTTTGTGTCCATAGATTGAAAAATCTTGTTCTGGGTACAGATGCTTAGGTAGCATAATTCAATGAACAAACTAACTCATCAATAAACTTAGCTGTAAATTGCACTTTCTATTGTAGCACATCTAAACTTTCATTTTCACAAAGAAATCAATAGCCAAAAATAGCAACACTCACAAGCACGGAACAGAAAAATAAATCTGTTTATTTTTTGTTCCGTGCTCACAAGTGACAGTTAAGTTATAGGACCAAAAAAATTAAATTAATGTGACTCATCTATAAACCCTCATATCTTTCCTAGAAAGTATAACCATTGACTCAGATTAGTGTGGTAAAAAAAAATAGAAAATCACTTCTAAATTATTATAAGTATACGCAAAAAATATTGTATTCCGGCTACACATCTATACAAAACCAGTATAAGCTGACCGTCAAGTGTGCGAAAAGATCATACAAAACGAGATCATGATAAACTGGAATTGTGGCTCATGTATGTGTTTCATGTTCGATGGATATTCGAACCATGTGGTCGAGAATTAAATGGTTCCAAGAATCAATTTCAAACTAGGAAGTTAGAGGACCTTGGAAATGGAACTAACCCATGTTTAACAAGTATAAGCAGTTGTTTGAGAAACTATAGTTAACCATGTATTGACGACAGAGTAGAATACATTTAATTATGTCATCATTCCTACTTTTCCCGTGGATGTCGTAACTTTTTTTTGTTGAAGGGGGAAATCCTCCAAAGCCTTTTTAGGGAAAAGACCTTAGTCTTTTCAGTGGTCTCCCCGGTGGCCATCATCTGCACCCGTGCGCCCCATGGATGTCGTACCTAAGAGGAAACTATGGGACTCCAAAAACAAGGGTGCTAAGCTGCTAACACACCTGGAGATTATGGCAACCCTTTAGAAATTATAGACGAGGCTCTAAGTCCAAGATTAAACGTAACGATTGATGATGAAAAACTTCATGTACCTACGCATCCAACAGTTATGACGTCAGTTATTAGAGTAACCGACGTCCATCGCTTTTTTATTTTTAAATCAGAAGGAAGGAAGTTTGTATAACGGTATTCAAAGCCCACCATTATGCAGTGACGTTTAAAACCTCAATGACGTAAAACTTTTTATTTGAATGAAAGCTTGAAATGAAACTCGTTATGTAGGATGCAAAATGTTCGGAACTGTTAAGGAAAGTACGTAAGAAGCAGAACAAGGAATCTCCAGAGCATAAAAATTTGATGTTTTCTTTTTTTAATGTAACTTATTCGACCTTCCGCAAATTCGGGGATTTATTGGCATATACAAATGTTATAGATATGCAATTTTAATAAAGAAGGTTAAGCATTTTAGCGGTCCAAGACACAAAAAGGCAAGTAACAAATGAGAAATATAACATTTTTTCTTTGTTCAATCTAGGGGTTTTTTTTTTTAAGGGGGGAACATCATCGAATTACTGCTCCCGCCTGGGTGAGGCGGAAGGGAGTGTCAGACTCTTACTGACTAAAAACCACCCCGTTCCTTCTCCTGCACGTCGAGCCGGAGCCCCGGTTACCCGTTAGGTTCTCTGCGACTCCGAATCGGCATCGGCCCTATTGGGCCCCATCTGTGGTGGTCTGATGGCTCTTTGAGGCGCGCGCGGAACGCGACGCGCCGTACGCTCGGGTCTGTTTCTGGTCGGACGGGGAGCCACCCATGCTCGCCGTCCGCAAGCCACTCCTCAAAGAGGGGTCTTACCGCTGCAATGGCAGCGAGCCCAGCCCTCGGTTGCGACAGTCGTTGCTGCCATTCCGCCATGAGATCGCGCCGGAGCTCATCCCGCCACGCACTTATCTGGCGCGGCAGAGGAGTTTCGCCCCGGCGACGTGCCTCCGCGCGCATGCGATACACGCGCGCGAGCACCTTCGCCTCCAGATCCCACGGCGGTGATCCGGCAAGGAGGTTCGCCGACTCCCCGGAGATCGTGCGGTATCCGCGGATCATTCGGATCGCCATGACCCTCTGTGACATGAGCAGCGTCCGAGCAGGACGCCGCAACAAGTTCGGCGCCCAAACAGGGGCGCCGTAGAGGGCCATGGACCGCACGACCCCGGCGTATAACCTCCGGCAGGAGGCGTTTGGCCCCCCGAGGTTGGGGAGGATGCGCTTAAACACAGCCCCCGCCCTCGCCAACTTTGGAGCCAAACGTCGGAAGTGCTCCACGAAGTTCCACCGACTGTCGAGGACGAGTCCCAGGTACTTCATCGTCGTCTCGACGCCGATGGTAACCCCTCCCGCCATTATTTGGGACCCACCCGGAGGTGGCGCGTTCCCGCGGCCATGAAAACACATGGCCTCGGACTTGTGGAGCGCCACCTCGAGTCCCAACTGCCGGATTTTTTCAACGACTGTCGCAACCGCTGTCGCCATTAAATCGGCCGCCGCCTGGTGCGACCTCCCGTGCGCTAGCACCAGCGTGTCGTCGGCGTAGCATATTGTGCTAACGCCGTTCGGGAGGTCGGTGCGCAGCACCCAGTCATAGCCGATGTTCCACCTAGGGTACTGGTTGACGAGGTTAACTTCATTGGTTAATTATAAATTTTCTATTAAAGAACCTCTCTCAGATTTAAATAAAAATCGAAATATCCGAACTGTTTCAACTGTCAATTATTAGGGAATGGGTTTAAAATAATCAGATCTTTTACGACTTTTTATTTTTAGTAGTTGATAAGAATATAAATTGACTTAAAGGGCTTCGTAAAGAATAAATCTTGCGCAAGAATAGCAATGATATTATGTTTGTTTAAGTATGCCTACACTATCCCAATTAGTTAGATTGACTGTTTAATTAATTGATAACTGCTTAATTAATTAAATATATATTAAAACTTGAAAGTAGAGTAACGAAAGAAATATACAGAGCGGATATGAATGGGGCCGTCGGTAGAGGGCATATAGTGACCAGATTGGCGATATATTAAAGAAGGGCCAAATTAAAAATACCCTTAACCGACGAGCATACATGAAAAGATTGATGACTGTTGTTGAAGCGAAAGAGGTATGTAGGAATCGTAGTAATTGGCGTTCCATAGTCTCTGCCTACCCCCATGGGAGACAGGCGTGAAGTTATGTATGTATCTATGTATGTATTTAGGCAATTAATTCGCATATTCCGGAGATATGTAATGTATATTATTGGTTTCTAACAACATGATTTTCCTGATTTTTGCTGATGGGGAAACCTAAACAGACAGTAAACAGTTAGACCTTTTTATTTACAACAACATACATAAGTAATAATTTCATATATATTTCACCACACGAGGAAAGGCATAAATTCTTCCTGACTTTGTTCCCCTTGTTATTTTTATTGGGATTTTTTCCATATAGATATGTTAACCATGTCGTAGCTTATTATTTAATGAATGCTACTTATATCGATCGAGTATCAAGTCCAAGCGAATTGCCTCCCTTTCGACTAGGAAAATATAATTTATTTTACAGCTAAAGATATTGTAAGGAGGATGGTTGACACTTTAGGTGATCGAAGGGCTGGCTACTACCTTGGGCAAAGGTTAAGCATTGCCATTCAACGTGACAACGCTGCCAGTCTTTGGGCACCCTACCTCACGATAGCGATGAGGAAATTTTTTTTGATGCCTTAAGGTAACATTTTAGGTGTAAATATTTTAGTATTTTGTTATTTGTATCAACTGTTTAAAAAAATTGGTATATACTTATTAATTTAATTACTATTTTTTATTTTAAGAATTTTAGTTAACGAAAACGAGCTATACAATTTACAAAGCTACTAGTAACAATATTTACTGGCCGATTTTTTTTGGGATTAACGTCAAATGAGTTGACGAATAAAAGTACCCTCAACCGACGAGCATGCTTGAAAAGATTGATGACTGTTAATGAAGCGAAAGAGGTATGTAAGAATCGTAGTAATCGGCGTTCCCTAGTCTCTGCCTACCTCCATGGGCACAGGCGTGAAATTATGTATGTATGTGTATGAGTTGACGGACGAACTGATGGTTATCAGTGCCGCCCATGGACATCGCAACGACATCTAGATCGTCGCTGGCCTTTAAAAGGAGTGCCCACGCTCTTTTGCCTTTCATTGTAAAATATCTTCAGAAGTAAGTATAGACAAGAATGAAGAAACAAATCAGGGATATGCCACTAGTGTGGTGATCTTAACACTACATTTATTATAATGGTGCACCATATTGAAACAAAAAGGCTACTCGAGTCACTTTAACCTTAGGTTACATATTAAAGGATTTTGAATCATGTAGGTATACATTCAATGACATAAAAAAATATCATATTTTGGACAGCAAAACTGTATGGGGTTAAGCCAAATTGTTAAACCAATCTTTAGGTCAATCCTTACTAATTGACGGACAAACAATGGATTACTGAAATATAAAATTAAGCAATGGAAATTTAGTTTTAATTTAGTAATATTTAGTTTTAATAATCTTTGTATTTATTGAAGCAATGGATACTTATGAGAAAGCAGTAATCAGCCCTTAATAGATGAAGGGACAGAGCGCAAAAATCAGTCGATATTACGATACCTACGCTAACGATCTTCTTTATGACCTCTTTTATGATTCTCATAGTTGCAAGTAATTTTCCAAGAAAAGTACAGCCGACTTCTTTGTAAAATAATAATTAATCTAAAAAAAGTTGGTTAAAATTCCCTATCTCGAAAAGTACTGAAACGATTGTGATGAAATTTGCAGTATTCCCTAAGTTAAATATACCTAATACCTATTACAACAAAAACAACAAAATAATTACTTAAATCGGACTTATGAAATTTGGCACATTTATTCAGACGCTGATATAGCTTAACATATATGAAAACTGGGCAGTTCTGCAAATATACATACATACGGATCGAAATGATAACCTCCTTTTTTTGACGTCAGTTAAACATTAGATATGTAAGGTAAAGGAATCATTCCGCTCGAGTCACTATTATAAGGAAAAGTTTGAAATAAATGTTTTTATAATAATTAAGTACGCAAATTAGTATTTCGATTTTAAGTTCAGTGTACGTGTGTGTTCAACGTAAATTAAATTCGTTACGTACCTAAGTAGAAGTAAAGGGCAAAGGTTTACTTCTGAGTGGATAAGCTGTGATATGTTTTACTGAAAGAAAATGTAGGGATTATTAAAATTATATTTACTTATTCAAAGAAATTGAATTAGAATCTCACCGCACTGCAAATGCACGTAGCGTTAATGCCACTGTAAGTTAATTAAAGAAAATATATTTTTATTTATTATTTTGCTTATCACATTAATTATAATGAACCATACCATTTCTTGCAGAGATAAAGACATTTCCCTAAGTCATTTCGTAAGCAAACAGTTGATTGAATAAAGTTTTCTCTGATCTACACGACTAATGACCGGTTCGTTCATTGTTTCGGAAGAAATTCTACTACTATAGTTTTGTTTAAATACGCAATATGTATTTTGTAAAGGGGTGTGTGTCATATATTTACCAATAGAACTGGTATTCGGTAACGTTTAGTTGCTACCCTAATTCAGAGAGCTCGGAGCAGAAAACACGCGTAACTAATATCGTTTATACGCTGGGCACTTGCACGTATGAACTGAGAACTGGCGAGACACACGGAGCAGTCATGAACATTTGTTCATACAATAAACTTCGCAACTATATTAGTCCGAAAATATTAATCGAGTAACAAATAGTACTTAATTATGTTTTTGTTCGATTGGCGGTATACGCTTACTTTTACAATCATGCTACATTGTGCCGCCATGGGTGAGTTAATCGATTTGTTTTTAATTCATTATTGTTCTCAATCTGTGTTTACTGACTTGATTTAATGTCACTTGTTTTTTTAATTCTGCGACTTGTTGAAAATGTTTAATTTGTAGTTTAATTTGTTATGGTTCCTTATTATAGTGGAATTATTATTAGTAGGTACATAATTAGAAAAAACACATCAAAGTAAGTTCTATAATTGAATTTGATTTTTCGACAGATATTCGAACCAAATCATTTGATGGTTTAGCAATACTACATTTTATGAGTAACCACCATATTTTTTACAAACAGACCCATTAAAGGTTTAGTCACTTCCGTCATAGAAATTGTTAATTTATAAATCACATTATGATGTGTTTAATATCTTCGGGACAAGGTATATCCCCGATATTAATCTCAGTTCATGACCGAACAACAGATATTCAACTTTATAATCTTAGAATAGAATAGAAAATGTAAAGAAAATTAATAAACGATCTTGGTGTCTGTGTAGGTACCTGTTTACTAGACAAACACATGTCTTGTGGATCTACTACATTATGTTCACGTCACTAATTGAAATATCTTGTAAAATTAATTACTTACAAAGTTGCTTGTACAGACTAGAAAATAAACTTTACCATTAATTGTTCTGTGAATTAAATATGATTCATCCCTTTTAGTTCATTGTTACTACATTTTATAAGGAAATAAGATGCTTTATCTATAGAGAGACACTGAATAGACAATGTATCTATAAGCACTTATTGGGACATTTCTGGTTAGACGCTTGTAAAATAGAATTCAAACGTTTTAGGTTCCCTCAATTAATTATTCCGAGTTTCACTAGGAGACAGATCAGACATGTCACGGAGACATATCGCCCAACATTCACGTGGTATGTCCCTGCAACTTTGTGGGACAATGTCGCTCGACATTTTGCTTGTTCATATTGGCCACTTGTGATCAGAATGTCGCCCATCGACACGTGAATTTCGTATCGAACGACATAGTCGCGAAACAAATGCAATGCAAATGTCCGACATAGTAAAAATATGGCCTTAGTGTTGGGTTTTCCATTTTCAAAAGTGTACGTAATTGTCTCTCAACAGCGGAAGAGTTTGAAATAGGTATCATAATTGATTGATACCTAGTTAACTTGGCTAACGAACAATCTTGATCAAAAATCTTTGTATCTAGTTATCTTTCTTTTTGACAGAAGATTTTGGATTGGTAAATAGATTATGGGTAGGCTGCAAAAATGTTATAAAATCTATATATCATTGAATAATATGTTGACTGGCTTCACAGGTGCCTGGATTTCGTGGCGCAATTTAAACAACAACATGTTTAAGAGATATCATAATCTTAGACAAATCAGAGGTGGGTTCTAGGTGTATTTGTAAACCCAAACAAATATGGTACAGAAGAGTTCAATTATACTAAAGAATTCCATTCTATTCTTTACCATATTTATTTAATCGAATTGCTTGGGTTTTGAAATACACCCTGTATGAAGCTTTGTAGAGACCTATTTAAGATTGGAACTTAGGAAAATTTCATAAAATCGAAGATATTTAAAATTTTTGCTTATTATGTATTGCTTACATGCAATAAGGCACATAATTACATAATTATCATAAATAGTGGGAAAATAAAACAGAGTGAACTAGTGAAACCAATTTAAATCTTATGTAAAACATCTCATTATTTTTATCTGGATTTTTTTTTTTCTCAAAACAAAACAGAACACATACAGCATAGAATATCAGTTATACTCAAACGCTGCACATATTTAATTGCGCATATAAAATCGTAAGATTATTTTCAGCATAACTGAACATGCTAATGAAAATCATTTTCGCGTTGGCCAGGTGGCAGCACAAGCAAATAAAGTGTGTTACCTAACTAATGTATGTACTTGGACTATTGCTGTTATATGTTTAAGTTTTAAGTCTTTACTAATTAATTTGTTTATATCAATATTTTCGTTTAGTTCTCGTTTAGTTATATTATTAATAAGTTAAGTAAAACCGTCTTGAACACATAGGTCGTTATTCAAAGCTTCATACTACCCACCGATATATTTTATATGCACCTTACTTGCGTAAAAATTAATCTTATACTCCATAATACTACTTATTTTTTAATTGTATGTTATTTTTGATTTTTCTGCAGCAGTTTAGGAAGTAAATTATGTCTTTCGTGCGGACGTTTGATTTGCTAAGTATGGAGTACTAGAATAAGTCATAATTGTGATATTACTTACCTTCCTGTTGACTACTTATAAAATACCGGTAGTAAATAAATATTTTTGCAATAATAAGACGTAAAACCAATACTTACTTGTATCACAATATTTACTTTAGTTCACTTCGTATGGTTGAGTGAGTGGTCTACTCAACAAACATATTGAGCAGACCGCTCTCATATATAGTAAATATTTTAATTATTAATTACTTTAATGAAGCATATTGCAATTACGAATATTTTACGCATTTATGGTGTAATTGTAGCAAACCAAAAATAAACGAAACGACTTTCTCGTTTAACTAACTCAAGAGGAGTGCTCGACTGGTTTCGAGCCACAAAAGGACGCTCTCCTCGAATCAGTTACGCTAATCAGCCGTTTCATTTAATTCAAATACCCAAATATTCTAATTTGTTACTCCAAAAGCCATCAATACAGTTTCCGTTAAACTATGTTTTGTAAATAAGTAGAATGAGAATGACTGACAAATAGACAAAAAAATCTTAACTACATTATGTCATCATATCCGGGCTTTAATGAATCAGTTGATCAAGGTCAAATACATTGGACAATTTTTAAACAATCATCTTCCTAATAGACAAATCAGATTACTTAAGTATTTGATCGTCACAAACCACTTCAACAAATTATGAACCATGCTCCAAATCTATGTATGTGATGTCGAAGTTATTTTGTATTGTCATATTAAATTGTCTTATGTTACAATACCATTAACGGTTAATAAGTTTGTCCACTTAAATAAGATGAGAGGAGAGATATCATGAAAGAAAGAAACAAATAAAACAATATCGTTTTTTTTATTTACGGTTCAAATTCTAACACCCTATTTCATTTAAGATACATAGCTGTGGTGGTCAAAAGGTTAACTTGTTTCAAAATCTTACGTCGAATGAATAAGATAATAAAACTTGTTTGTAATGTTAATAATACAGAATTAAAACGGTTTATAATAGTAAGGTTTTTTGCTGACTCACCATAGGAGGATACTTAGAAAGGAGGCCACCACCACCATACTTAGAAAGGTGCGAAAAGCTTTCCTAAAGGACCAATAGACAACATTTTTTTTTTCATTAGTTTCGTTGGTCTAACTCTTATTAGAATAATTTATTTTAACTACAATTTTTAAGAAACGATAAATAAGTCTTTTGAATCTGAACAGATAACAAGATCCCTTCTGAAGAGATATCAAAGCACCCAGTATGGGCGAAGCTGGATGCCGTGGACTGCGGCGACAGTGCAGCAGATCGTATTATTGGTGGACTCAATGCTGGGCTGGGCGACTTCCCCTGGATAGCACGTCTTGGATATCTTGGTCAGTTACGTTACGTGTTAAAAGTCCTAATTTCTATTTTTATTACTTAATAAATTCATAATATTATTAAATTACACCTACAGAAATCTGTATCACATCTAAATTACGTTACAGCTAGTGAACGAAATTTTAGAACAGTGTAACAATATTAACGGAAATGGAAATGTGCCCGGTATATGGCAATAGGCTCACCCCTATTACATGGGACTCATAACAAAAATAGTGAAAAGTGGGTGTCACTTCTGCGTGCACACAGAAGTAACACCCACTTTTATCCCCGTAGGGAATAAAAGGCGTGATGTTATGTTATGTGTGGTAGGTAATGAGTAAACTGCAGTTGCACATAAATCCAGACTCAGTACTATTACTGAGAATTTAAAAAATTCCTCTAACACCCGGATTGGCAAACTAATAGTCAGCGGTGTTTACTATCCTTGGTTATTTTAATAGCCCTTAAAATGTAACTAATAGTTATCACTTACTATGAATCAATGATTAATACGAATCTTAATTAATTAATAGAAATGTACGTAGCATTTATGTGACGGCATCACGGATATATGTGACGTCATGAGGTTGACGTCATTAACGTTAAGTGGATCATTATCTTGTTAGTAATCATTTTGAGTATTATTGAAGTCAGAGTTCAATTATATTCGTTTATCTACTTCAGTAATATACTTATAATAGGTAATTGCACCTACATAGATAATTGCACTGAGTCTAAATAAATTATTTACTCATCGACATTCGAAATGTTTTGCTGGTTAATCCCAGAAGATTTTGTTTATGTATTTTCACAATCCTATAATATTTCTGTTAAAATTAAAGATAATAATAATATGTTTGCAAGATGGCTGGCTAAAGAAGCTGTCATCTTCAAAAAAAAATGATTACATGCAAGGCCTTGTATTCTCATTTCTCAAGTGAGACTAATCTGAGGTTCCACAGCGACCATAGCGGGTAATTGTGTGTTGTATTTTTTTTCCAGGAGAGCCTTTCCTACTACTTTGGAGCTAGGATACAGAATAGACATATGGGCGTGATTATCTTAGCATTTACACATTTGTTGATGATATTAGGAAAATTAATCTACATTATAAATTATAACCTTCTATTTCTTAATTAATTATTATGTTTTTCAGTATACTCACGAAATTCACGAGCCCGACTAGTTTCAGACCATGCTAGAGGCTCATATTCATGAGCAGCATTCCACGACCTGCGACGCGTCAACAGTCGCGCTGCTACTTTCATTAATTTTTAAATATGTACCAAGCTAAAAACAAATACAGAAATCTTAATTCTGAGAATCTGGAGATCAAAATCCCGATTAAAGCCTTGGAACTTATGTGCCTAGAAATCTATCCTAAGTCTACTAGAAGAACTAAGACATGTGATAGATGACATCATATTCCCTAATTTCACAGAAGACGATGAGATAGACTACATGTGTGGAGGTGCCCTGGTCACCGACCGCCACGTGGTCACTGCCGCCCACTGCGTACAGAAGTCAGACTACGGATTGGTCTTGTAAGTTCAATCAAATACCCAAATAAATCAAGTCAGTTTTCAATTCTATTTATTAAGCAATAAGGTGTAAAATCTTTGACTTCTTGGGGTAGCTTAATGTGCTAGCGTCTATCCTAGTCTCGTTTTTGAAAACCAGTAACTAATATATATTAAAGGTTATTCACTCAAGGACATCCGCTAACCACTGTTTTCCTGCATTTAAGTTATCAAGTCATGACTTTTTTTATCCAGTTCATTTTTTTTTAATATTATATTTGTTGTAAATTCATAGTTGATTCTTATGATCTACATTCAAATATTTAAGACCTTGTTTTATGTAGATACTTATGCATATTTTATTAGATAAACGTCTTGTCAAGTTCCTAATATTCGAGGATATGACGTAATCTGGACTTGTGGTTAGCCTATAACCACAAGTCCAGATTACGTGATATTACTAACAATTTTGTAATCGACTATCATATTAAATGCTGTGTCTGGCATGAGAATAAATAAAACCCGATTAATAATAATACATTACCTACTTACCTTCTATTAATTATGCTCTTCACCATTCCAATTCCACCCATAATATAATTGGAGGTATATAATATAGCTATCTGGATACAACAGAAAGATACACACATCAGAAAGCGCCTATACCCGGTCTCTGTTAATCGGGACCCTTTAAAGTGCAATCTCCATTCCAACCCGTTTGCCAAGCGGGAAGATCATGACTAACTCCTCTTATATAAAGAAGACATGTAGTCTAACAGCATAGTGCTACGGACTATTGATGTGTGAATTATTCTGCATATTACTGATACTTTAAAATTTTCCCACAATTATCCTTTCAGAACCACAGTCCGATTAGGTGAACATGATACACGGACGGATCCAGACTGTGAACTCAAAGTATGTGCACCTGCAGTACAGGACCGAGGAATCAAGAGGATCATCAGTCACCCTCAGTTCAATAAGCCCGCCTTCCACAACGACGTCGCCATTATCGAGTTGGATAAACCAGTTACATTAAATAGTGAGATGGATTTAACTAAAATATCAGTATTTAAAGTTCTTATGTTATTGGTGGGTGGTAACCAGGTAACAGAGTGATTAATGTAGCTGACTGGCTGAAACCGTTAAACGTGGTGAAGCTTTTTAGCTGATAGGCTCATAATTTTTATTGACAATTTAGGAGGAGCAAAAATGTACCAAAATTTTAATAGGAATATTGGTTCCTATCCCCGCTTATGTCAAAAAGGGAGTTATTATTGAGAGTTTTGGAGAAATTTCATTTTCTGGATAATTTCAAAAGTAATATTAAGTTAACGTAACCTGCAAAGCTAGTCCTTTGTATTTCTAACTCACGTAATCTAAGGATTGTTTTAAGACTATGTGACACCTATCTGCCTGCCCCGCACAGCGGAACAGCTAATGAACTTTAAAATTGGAGATGAGATGACAGTCGCTGGTTGGGGGAAGATGAACATGACCACAGAGGAACGAGCTAAAGTATTACAGTTTGTAAATGTAAGTTCTTATTTTACTAACATGTACTCAGGTATATTGTTATAACATTATCATCATTAGGCCATTTCCGTCCATTACTCGACGTGCCATGCCTCTCCAATAGGACGTTGAAAATGACGAAAATGTAATAAGTTGTAAATAAGAAATTTAAAAGATCCTTACAAAATCCGAATTGTTTGCATTAAAAAAAAGAAGGGCGTAGGTACTTTACCTAAGTCAAGCATATTTCGGAAACGTAGAGATTAGGGCAAACCCTCTTTTGTATAGAAGGTCCATATAGTCCAACAGTGAACCGTTGGAGGCTGTTGATGACGATGATTCTTTGAAAGCAAAAGATGTTTGACTCCTCATTAATAAAATCTCAGATTGAACATAAGACATTAGTTGATGTTATTATAAAACTTTTCCATCATTCATTTTTGACTAAAAAAAGTGCCATACCTAAATAAGTAGTCCAGTTGAAATATTTAACTAAAAACATACTAACAATACTATAAGATCTCTAGAGGACTACAATATTTTTTCTAGATACCAGTAGTAGCCCCTACGATGTGTGACTCGTTCGGTAAAGGATTCAAATTGTTCGAATCAGAGATCTGCGCGGGTGCAGAACATAATAAGGACGCTTGCGGTGGTGACTCAGGAGGTCCACTCATGAAGGTAACTTTCTTTTCATTAAGGTTTAAAAATGAAGCTTAATGTTCATGTTTAAAACAATAAGTATGTGGATACCTAATACCAATGTATACTTATATATAATGTTTAAATTCTATATGGTAGTACTGCAAATTAATAGTCTTCTGCTTATCATGTTTAACACACCAAGCCAGATATAGTTATTCCTATTGGGTTAAGTGTGTGTGGGTGTGTATTCAATGTTTACAACTATATATTTTTTACAATTTTCTCACCTTGACAAGTTAGCGATGTGGTGATTAGATTGATTTGACACAGTAATGTAAGTGGTATATTAGGTAAGGTAGGTATTTCTTATTGCCAAAGTAGAAAATAAATCCTACTGTACAATATATTATAGTTGAGATTGATAACTATTTCATATTTATGGTGATATTTAAATGTTGAGGAAATTATGGTTCACATTCAACCTGTTTCTTCAACTTTGATATTTCCTTACTAGTATGTAATCTTATAATTTTTTTTAAAAGAAATAAACGAGATAATTCTTCAACTTAAGTTTGGTTTGAGGGCAATTTTGTCGTAAAAGGTGCCTAGTTTTGTAATGTGTTCCAGGCATGAGTTAATCAAATAAATTCAAAAAGTCAAAGGCCTTAGAAGAATCCAAACATGCAACGATTTAGTATGGACCGCAAAAGAAAAGTATTTGTTTAATACAATCTACTTACTTTCTTTTTTCAGGTCTTTGACACGCCCGAAGGTCCCAAAAACTATTTGGTCGGAGTAGTGTCATTTGGGCCCACAATATGTGGTATCAAGAAGCCTGGAGTCTACGCGTCAGTGGCATACTTCCTCAAGTTTATATTAGATAATCTAGTCTAAATGTTACTTTAGTATTATCTTTTATTACATGCATATGTAAATATTTTCATTAAATAGTTCCTATTTTAAATCTGGCCTTTTATTTTTAGGAGCTTTCTCAATAAAATCTTTGTGACAGAAGAAACAGAATAAAATGAACACATAGATATTAAATAGGTTTACATTTATTGATTAACCAAACATTTGATTATCTTAGGTCCTCGTGCGTAAATGGAAATTAAATAAAATCCTAAGTAAAATCACACTTTCACTCTATCCAAACTATCGGTAACAATTTCCGAGTCCGAGTATTTGTCATCGATATCGATTCTATTTAAGAACTCTGCCACATCCCCAGTGTACGTTTCCGCTGTATCATTAATCGATACTTTGCGAGATCGAATAGGACTATTGTAGTGGTAAGATTTGTTCCGGGAACTGCGTTTCTTCGTGCACTTCCTCGGAGATAGTTGCAAAGAGTCTAAAGGAGCTGACAGTGAGCGTGGTGCGTAGTACCTCTCGAAGAGCATCGGTTGCTGCTGTACCCTTCCATACATCAGCTCCATCTCATGAAGAAACTCCTCTCGTCTCATTCTCTCCTCGTCACGCCGAGTTTGCAGCCGCATGGCAATGTCCTCCTCGTGACTAAAAATAAAAATTTACCTTTGGGAATGAATCTAATTCGATTGTTATATTTGTATGGTACCTAAAATAAGAAAAATGCAGATAATGATCCTAAACCGTAGCTTCCCTCCTTAATCGCTATTAGTATAAAAGATATTATTGAATTAAATCGGTTTATATTTTCAATGAATAAAATTTAAAAAAATATAGCAAGTACCAACTATGAAAATGCATTTTTACCGACTTCAAAAAAAGGAGGAGGTACTATGTTCGGCTGATTGTTTTTTTTTTTTTTTTTTTTTTTTTTGTTTGTTCGCGCAGTACTCCGCCGTTTGTGGACCGATTTCGAAAATTTTTGTTTTGTTTGAAAGGGTATACTCCCGAGATGGTCCCATTTTCATGAAGTCAGGATCTGATGATGGGATCCTAGGGAAACCGAGGGGAACTTTCGAAAATTGTATGGGGGAGTAATGCGTCTATTATGTTTTTCAATTACGAATTTTAAACACTACAATTTGATAAGGGTCTGAAGTCGACCTGATGATGGAGTCGACAGACAGTCGAGGGAACTCCTCAGCGGTTTATATTAAATACCTTGTGTTTGGGCTTGATTAATTTGTATTGATGAGGACTTTACACCTAGATAGAGTGGGGCTGTCATTAAGGGTCTGATGATGAAGAAGTGTAATTGTTAAGGGAACTCCTCAACGGTATACAGTAACTACCTTGAGTTTGGGCTTGATTAATTTGTATTGATGAGGACTTTGCACCTATGTATATTATAAGTAACAAAACGGGTATATGTAGCTTTACACTGAAAATGGTAAAATAATAAAATAAAAACTGCGTTTAAAAAACCGACTTCAAAAACCAAAAACTAACACCAAACAAAAAGTCAATACTAAAAAGCAAAAAATAACTATTATTAGTACTGATAGGTTACCCACCCACTGATAGGTTAGAAGTCGGTGCCATAAGCTCATATCATAATGATATAACTTAATGTCCACAAAATTGTGAATTAGGTACCTATTAAGGTTTTAATGAATAATTTTGTATGGAACTTATGGCACCGACTTCTTACCTATCAGTGGGTGGGTAACCTATCAGTACTAATAATAGTTATTTTTTGCTTTTTAGTATTGACTTTTTGTTTGGTGTTAGTTTTTGGTTTTTGAAGTCGGTTTTTTAAACGCAGTTTTTATTTTATTATAGAAAATACCTATTAGGTAGTTCATTATTTGAGCAAAGGCTAACAACAACACTACGAAAACTAGATTGAAATTCAAATTATCAAGTGACATTCTTTTATGTTGCAAACTAACTTGTTTTTGACAAGATGCCAAGCGGGTTTCGATCGTAGTTGGCGATCCCTCAATCTCATCTCGTTGCGACGACGTTGTTCTGCCAATCGAGAAGCTGCTTCCATTTCGAACCTTCTTCTAACTGCTTCAGCTCTTAGTAGAGCTGCTAAATTAGACCTGCCTGATGCAGAAGCTCGAAGGTCAAGAGCTGAGTAGGCTCGAGCCCCTGGACCGTTCCCCGCTGCACTGGTGCTCTCATTGCTTTTATTTTCTGAATAAATTTTCATTGTCACATCGTGCATCTAAAATATAAAATATTATATGTTATTACACTCAACCCGACAGCTATGCTGTTGGATCCATTCTGAGACCAAAACCTAAGCATGGACCGACTAACTAAGAATTTGATTAAACATAGAATCTTACTTTCTTGGCAGCCCTATCTGCAGTATTGAATCGGAACGGTTGAGGGCTCGTAGTTATGAACTCTTCCTTTTGACTTTTATTTCTTTTCTTCCGATCCTTCGTAGGACTCGGACATCTTTGTCTATCAGAGGATGATATAGACGGTATTCCTGGAGAAGGGTCTATGGGCAGGTCACTATGAGCAGCTGGTGTTGAGAGACGACTGCGGTCCCGAGCAGCCATCGTACCAGGATAATTTGCACTTCGCAACATTTCATCTGCCCTTATACGTTTGTTCATAGATCTGTAATCGTAATATTTAGACCTATGTAAATCAATAGAAGTTAACTAGTTCTTAGATAGGTACTTGCAGCGAAGTCATTTGCGACAAAATGACGAAAATATATGATTTGGTCCAAAGAATTTAAAATAATAATGGCCAATTACCTGAAGAAGTCATCTTCCCTCATTTTATCATAAAAGTAATTAGAAAACAAGTTTTTAGGCACAGGTCGAGCCCTAAATCGTTTCTTCTTTTTACTTTTTGGTAGAACATGAATTGCTCGTTCACACGTTCCACCAAGACCCTTTTCTTCTCGTTTTGTAAAACTAAAGGGTTTCATCTGAGCCCTTAGCTCAGCCTCGCTATTTATTTTTGTTATTGCTCGTCTGTAAAATGTAAATGAGACTAATAAGCATGAATTTTATTTAACAGCCCTTCAACTTGTGTAATAATAATAATAATAATAATAAATAATCTGCCCCCCAAATCCAACCATACGTCCGAATCGACCATCAGATTCACGTGGGGGGCGGACACGCGATTGAAAAATTACTGGCGCGGCTAACATGGCAATGGAAACCCATCAAAAATGGAGACTAGATCAAAAAGTAAACGTATAGGGCCGCTGCCCGGGGGCGATCGCCGGGGCACACTTGGAGCTGACGCTGGGTGTGGCAGTGGACGAACCGTCGGCGGTGCGGAGTTGAGTAGGCGGGCTCCCACCGGGTCACCCGAAAAAGTTACAGCACTACATCCTTCATCACCATCTTCATCTATCATAGAACCATTTAGTCCAAGCACAACATCATATGCACCTTCACTTTCACCTCTTCCAACGGACGAAGAGTCTAGGGAAGCCGAAAACCCCACCTTTGCTGTTGCGCAGGAGGTCCAAGAGACCTTTTTACCTGCGTCCACGAAGGCTGGGAAGCCCAGAGTGCGCATGAGATGGTCACCTGAAGTAAATACATTTATCATGCGCACATATTACTATATCACCAAATTAGAGACAGACCTAACTACATACCGAACACTTCTACATCAAAAATTCATACAACAATACCCAGAAATAAATGTTACGGAACAAAGGATAGCAGATCAAAGGAGAGTTATCGTTAGGAATAAATTGTTAAGTACGGAAACTCTGAATAAATTACAAGAGGAAGTAAAAATTAAACTACAAGAGGAAGAAAGTACAGGATATAACATACCCTCACATTCACTAAATGTCATACATGACTCCACAAACTCACAACCACACAACCCACCCATTCATCATTATTCTACCATGCCTATCTCATCACAATCACTCAATCATACACAACATCAACATCTAGAAAATGACACATACTTCTCGCAGATATTATTAACACAACATTCAACATCAGAGATGAGTACCCAAACAGATAATACAACATTATTAGTAGAAAACGAAATAGAATGTCTTACATTAGAAAATAGAAGCGAAAATCCAATAGTATTAAATCTGGGCGAAAAGCTACGAAGCGCCATTTTGCTTTACTCCGGAATGGATCCATCAGCGCGACCAAAATTACCTAAATTAAAGTACAGCAAACATCTTCTCAAATTGGTTAGTATTTTCAATAATAGTTTACTTGAACAACACATAACAAACGACTCAAAACTCAATGATATTCATACACTAATATATTGTACAGCATCAGTTATCTCACAAGAGTTGGGATACAAAACATACGACAGTGATAGACCTATACAGATTCCGAGAGACAATAGGCCAGCGTGGCAAATAAGATTGGAAAGACAGATAAAAAAATTACGATCAGACATTGGTAAACTGACTCAGTACATCACAAATAACAATAGATCAGAGAAGGTAGTAGATAGAGTAACGGCAATATTTAATAACACAGCACTACATACTAGACATGAAGCTAATAATAAAACACCGCAAGAGTTTCTCGATACTCTAAAGCAAAAATTAGCACTTAAAACTAACAGATATAAACGATATAAAACAGCGTTACAAAGAAAAAATGATAACAATCTTTTCGCCAATAATGAAAAAATGTTCTATAGAAAATTAAACGCAACTACAGATAATAACACAACAACACACTCAACAACAAATGAAGTACCTAGTAAGGAGGAATTAGAGAGTTTTTGGTCAAACATCTGGGAAACACAAGTAACTCATAATACAGAAGCTCAGTGGATAGCAGATGAAAAGAAAAAATGGGAGACTATAGAAGAAATGGAATTACTTGAAATAGCAAAAGAAGATATAACTAGCATAACTGATAGACTTCATAATTGGAAATCCCCAGGCGTAGATAAGATCCATAACTTTTGGTACAAAAAACTCATAATATTTCACAAATATTTGGCCAAAAATTTAACGGAAATACTGTTAGGACAACAACAACCACCAGATTTTTTTACTAAAGGAATTACCTACTTGCTGCCTAAGAACCAACATACCTCACAACCATCTCAATACAGACCAATCACCTGCTTACCTACCATTTATAAAATATTAACTTCAGTAATAGCACACAAAATAAGATCACACGTAGAGACACACAAAATAATAGCAGAGGAACAAAAAGGGTGTAGGGTGGGCCATATGGGGTGTAAGGAGCAATTAATCATTGATTCAGTAATACATAAACACACAGCAACTAAAAAACGCAACCTTCACTGCACTTTCATAGACTATAAAAAAGCGTTCGATAGTATACCACATTCCTGGCTTATAAACATATTAGAAGTATATAAAATTAACAGTAACATTATAAATTTCCTTAAAAAGATAATGCCCTTATGGAAAACTACTTTACAACTTAATAACCGCCATAATTCCATCATCAGCAGAGAAATATCAATACGAAAAGGTATATATCAGGGAGACTCTCTGAGCCCCCTATGGTTTTGTCTCGCCCTTAACCCTCTGTCTCAGTTGCTTAATAACCAGCGTGTAGGATTTCAACTTAAACGAGATAACACACAAACTACAATTTCGCACTTAATTTATATGGACGATATAAAATTATACGCCAAAACGGATAAAGAGATGGACAAATTGATCAAATACAACAGATTTCAGTAAGGACATAAATATGCAGTTTGGGTTAGATAAATGTAGAACTATTCACATACGGAAGGGCAAGATATGCGCTGGGGATTACGTGATTGAGGACTCCAGTGGTGAGAATCAGATTATAAAAGCGATGGAACCAGATGAAATGTACAAGTACCTGGGATATCAGCAAGCAAAAGGATTAGATCACAAAGACATTAAGAATAAGCTAACTTTAGAATACAAAAGAAGATTAAATAGAATTTGTAAGAGTCGATTGACAGGAAAAAATTTAATAAAAGCAATTAACACATATGCTATCCCAGTACTGACATATTCGTTTGGGATCATCAAGTGGAGTCAAAGTAATATAAATTCTTTAGAAAGAACTACTCGTACAACTCTCACAAAACACAACCATCATCATCCAAAATCAGCAATAGAACGACTTAATATTAAAAGGCAAAATGGGGGTAGGGGTCTTATATACATAACTAACCTGTGGAAGAAGCAAATTAACTCGTTACATAAATTCTTTAAGCAGAAATCTCTCACCAGTAGTATCCATAAAGCAGTAGTAGAGAATGACAATAGCTATACACCCCAACTTACAGCAAACTTATTTAGAAAATACTCCAACACCCAGCGAACAAGAAGCAATTCTAAAAGAAGCATGGCAGAAAAAAGTCCTGCACGGGCGACACTATAACGACCTCGAACAACAACCCATAGATAAAGAAGCATCAAATAAATGGCTGAAATTAGGTACCCTCTTCCCGGAAACTGAAGGCTTCATAATAGCTATCCAGGATCAAATAATTAACACTAGAAACTACAGAAAATACATAATCAAAGACCCTACACTCACGAACGACAAATGCAGAAAATGTCACATACACTCCGAGACAATCCAGCACATCACTGGAGCCTGTCCTCATCTCACACAAACGGATTACACTCATCGACACAACCAAGTTGCTAACATCATTCACCAGATACTCGCCATTCAACATAACCTCATAACAGACACGCACACTCCATACTACAAATACACTCCTAGCACTATCCTAGAGAATTCCACTCACAAAATGTACTACGATCGCGCAATACTTACAGACAGAACCATTCACTTCAACAGACCTGACATCACTCTACAAGACAAAATAAATAAAACCACTTACCTGATTGATATCGCCGTCCCCAATACTCACAATTTAACAAAAACAATAGCTGAAAAAGTTCACAAATATGCAGATCTCAAGGATGAAGTGACAAGAATTTGGAGACAGGATAAAGTTTACATAGTGCCGATTGTCCTGTCTACTACTGGAGTAATCCCAAAACACCTTTTTCACAGTTTAAAGTTATTGAATATCAAAGACACCATATATATCAAATTGCAAAAAGCGGCTATACTAAACACATGCCGTATAGTTAGAAAATTCATGCAGATAGACGAAAATGAAATCTCACCACCACCACCACCACCACCACCAACCCAAACCATAGAACCGATTGATAGTCACAATTCACTAACAACTACCGAATAATATTCTTTATATGTCCTTTACTTGGCGGAAGCCCGTAAAGGACATTAAAACCGGCCTTAGAGCCGAGAGCAAGAAGAATTGCAAGAAAAATAAATAATCTTTATTGTACACCAATTTGAGACAGTACATCAAGGAACAAATAAAGAAAATAGGGTACAAAGGCGGCCTTATCGCTAAAAGCGATATCTACCAGGCAACCTTTGGGTGGATAGAATAATAAAGTAGGATATTAAATGAGGTAGTTATAGCTTGGCGTACTGAGGTGCTTATTTATATAATGTAAAAGAGAAAACATTAAAAAACAAATTTATTTACTTTTAATATAGAATTATATCATACACACACATACATACATACATACATACATACATACATACATACATACATACATACATACATACATACATACATACATACCTACATACATTCATACATATATACATATACTAATACATACATAAGTACATTTAGAAACAAGATACAATGACAGATAGGTGACACTAGGTGAAGAAACAACAATGAACTACAGTGTGGAGAGATAATGCTCCCTCACGCGTGCCTTGAACGTGACCAGTGACTTTGCTTGTTTTATGGAAGGGGGAAGTGCATTCCACAGTCGAATAGCTCGAACTGTAAACGATTTGTCGTAGGATTTACTCTCATGCTGGGGCATCTCAAGTCTCAGATCTCCCGACGACCGTACTGGTCTAAAATGTGTGTCATGGTAGAACTTGAAACGTTCTTTAAGGTAATATGGCGTAGTAGGATTAAACAGTATATTGTAGAGAAGGGATAGGATATGAGTATTCCGGCGAAGGCGGATCGGCAGCCACTTGAGTTTAGCTCGGTATTCGGAAACGTGGTCATATTTTCGTAAGCCAAATATAAACCTTATACAGAAATTTTGGAGTCGCTCAAGTTTATCTAACTGCGCTTCAGTAAGGTCTGGATAGCTGACGTCGGCATAATCAAGAATGGGAAGGAGAAGTGATTGAGCAAGCGCAATTTTGGTAGCGGTTGGTAGAAAGTTTCGAAGTCTACGTAAAGACTTGGCTGACGCAAACATTTTCCGGCTGACCTGCCCCAGTTGCGGTCCCCAAGAAAAGTCTCGATCTATGGTAATGCCTAGATCTTTCACTGAGTCGCTGTATGGTATTATGGTACCGTTAAAAACAATAGGTGGAATCTGCGACCATGTAATTTTGCAACGTAACCGAGGGCTACCGACTACAATGACCTGGGTCTTCGCAGGGTTAACCTTTAAACCGTAAGCCGCGCTCCATTCTGAGATTCGAGCTAAGTCGGTATTCACCATTTTTACCGCCTCGGTGAATTCACCAGGAGGTGCCTGAGAGTAAATTTGCAGATCGTCAGCATACAAGTGGTAGGAAGAAAGAAGTTCATCAGAGATAGAATTTATAAAAATAGCAAAGAGTAGAGGAGAAAGAACGCCCCCCTGCGGTACGCCAGCAGTCGTATCAGACCAGGAGGAGTATGAACCTTCAATGGCAACACGCTGCCGGCGGCCAGACAGGTAACTACGAAAGAAATCAATCACAGCCGGCGATATGTTAAGAGAGCCCAGTATTCCAAGTAAGATATCGAAATCAACGGTGTTGAATGCATTGCTAAAATCTAGCAAGGTAAGCAGAGTTAGATTGCCGTTTTCGACACCCGATCGTATGTCGTCTGTGATGTTGACAAGTGCTGTAGTGGTACTATGCCCCGGACGGAACCCTGATTGGTAAGGATTGAGGAGACTGTGTTTGGTGAGGAAAGCACTTAGCTGGTTATAGATGAGGCGTTCCAGGACTTTAGAGAGGAAGGGTAAAATGGAAATAGGACGGTAATCAGAAAAGGAGTCTGGGTTTGGTTTTTTGGGAAGAGGAGTGATTTGTGCGTCCTTCCATGCAGAAGGAAAAATGCAGCTAGATAAGGAATAGTTAAGGATATGGCAAATGACAGGAAGGATTTCGTCCAGGACAGGGAGTATCATCTTACGGCTAACACAATCACTCCCCACCGCATTGGAACTAATGGAAACTATACTCTTCCTAACATCACAAGCTGTGAGTTGATTAAAGGAAAATTGTGAATAGTTGGGAGAAGGAAGAGAAGAAAGATAGCTTAAAGTTTTAGTTTTGATAAACCCATTAATATTGGGCGAAGAGGAAAAGTGTTTATTAAGAGATTCAAAGTCCAGGTTTCTAGTAATCCCGTCCCGACGCAGTTTCCCAACTCCCATGGATCTTAGGAATGTCCAGATCTTGGCTGCGTCGCCATTCTCTACAGATTGATGAATGTGGCGGCGTTGTGCATCCCTACACATCTTGTTGCTACGATTTCGAGCTGCAACATACTTCTCGCGGTTCACAGGATTAGGTAGGCGTTTAAATTTGGATTTCGCAGCTGCTTTCCTGTGAATTACAACCCTGATCTCTTCTGTCAACCACGGCGCTGGTACATGTTTTATTTTAACTGGCCGTATCGGGGCATGGATGTCATACAGTTCAATGAGTTTTTTATTAAACATGCTGATTTTGTCATCAGTCCCCACGGCAGCAAAAAGTTCAGACCAGTCAATGCCGCCGGCATCCTCACGTGTACTTGGAGCTAAGAAGCTTATGGTATTTAGGTACAATTTGGTAAATGTGGAGAAATAATAATTATTAAGATAAGAAGGAAAAATCGTGGATTTCGAAATACATAGCAGGTTGTAGGAAGTTAGGAACCTACATATTTAAGCGCTAAGGTGAAGTAGCAAAACGATAATGAAACATTTATTTACCTAAGTAAATCTCGTTGCTACAAAAACCAGCTACGATAGAACGTGTTTCAACTAATCGCAAATCATTAAAAAAACAGTTTGCAAACGTTTACAAAATTAATTGGGTAATAAATCAAAATAGTCAAGGAAAAGGTGAAATCTAATAAGAAGCATACAGGTTTTCATGTCGAAAGGAAACCTCATAGCTTGGTCCTCTAAGATCTTGTCGTAGAGAGGAATGCGGGACTCGATTGGCACCGGCCTCGCTTTAAATTTCTTTCTTTCCATCTTCTGGTGAAGCATGTCTTCAGAAAACGATTTTCGAAGACACCGAAGTTCGTTGACTATGCGGTCTTCTTCATCTCTATCAAAAGTTAAAAATTACATTTACAGCTAATGCTACTTTGTATTCTATATGTATTTTCGTTATTTGAATTTGATTAAATATAGTTCAACTTTCTATCGTAATTGTTGAAAGTACCTTTCAAATCCACAGCTTTTTGTTTATTGTGTAATTTTAAAACTTAAATCGTAAAGGTTTTTAATTGAAGAGTCATCTAATTAATTATGGTACTATACTCACCTTTCGGTCATTTTGAAGGGTTTAGGAATTGTTATGCTCTTCCTACGTCGTATTGGGGAACCAGACCGTTTTGATCTCAACGGACTTGAAGGCATACTTTGTGTTTTAAAATCATCTCCGTCAAAATCTTTACTATTACAACTATTATACTTTTTTCCATCGAAAAACTCGTCAAACTTCTGATCAATTTCATTTTTACTTTCAAACTTAGCATCATTCCATGAAATAGAACAAGCTGAGTGATTTCTTTTAGGACGTTCGGTCCTTGACTTTTCTAAATTACTTTTCATTGGAGCTATTTTTAAATCTTCGTGACCATTTTTCTTTTCACCTATCGTACTGGGAGCCACATTCTTCCTAACAGATGGTTTAAGACATGACTCTGAAATATTATTATTAGCTCTTGGTTTTGATAGAGAACTAGAAGTAAGGTGATTGTTATGATCATTTTTGTTATTAGAATCTTTTGATCCCGTAGAGAGCTTTCGCCTGGGTATTCGATTTCCTTTGATTTTACTGCTTTTTGTCATAGCTGGTAACCGACTGTTTTCTAATGTTAAATTATTCAATATTTTGTCATCATGTCCATTACAGTCGTCTATGAATTCAATAGCTAGACCTAGCATAACTTTCTTTTTATCTCTTAAAGATTTTAACGTGGAGTAAAACTCCTCAGTGGGTAAATGATTTATATCATTGTAGTCTGGAATACTCCGGTAAAAATCTTTTAATTTTTCTGCATCCAGGTCTGCTGCTCCAGCAGAACACGTCGAAGAAGAATCAATAGAACACTGTTGATTACGTATTTTATCTTTTCTTTCGTAAGCAGACTTTGGCATTTTACTAATAGGATCCACTGGAACTCTCAAGCAAGAGTTGTTAAACACACTTGTGTGATGGGTCATACCGATTTAAATTACACTAACATTGTTAACTTATTAATTTTAAAATCACATTGTCTCTTAACTCAGCTTTTACATTTTTTGTTGTCATTATCGTCGCTATGGATGCCTAATATGCGCAGTTGGAAACTTGGATCTTTAACCGAATAGAAATCAATTCATTACGAATTCCGTACTGATTACTTACGTAACAAGGACGTTGAAAAAACCTAATAATAATTAAAAAAAAGGTTTTATTACAGAGTCGGTGACTATAAAAGTATTAATGTTATGTAGGGTTTATGCACCTTCATGAGCGTAAATTGGAATACATCGTTGTTTTGATTTGTCAAATTGACATTCAAATGAGACGTTGACAATTGACACAACAAATAACAAATGATTTTTAACCTTAAAAAAATAGATATTATTTTGCATTTATAAATTGAAAGCTGTATTTTATGAGAGAATAAAAGAAGTTTCTCTAGTAGAAAGATATTAAAATAGTTAATGTAATTTAAGGTTACCTTATCTTGATAGAGAATTAAATTAGTTTTGAAAATAACTCGCTGCAAAATGTTGAGTAACAGCGTGAAGCGGCTTTTCGTGCGACAAATTAAATGCAGCATTAGAACAACAAGTATTCGTTCACTTAGTGCTGCAGAAGATGTGACCAGCCTGACAAAACCAGTGGAGAAATTTAAGGGAGACTATGATGTTATTATTGCCGGCGGCGGAATGGTAGGGTGCACCCTCGCCTGTGCCATGGGTATGTAATAGAACAAACTTTAAAAAACATATTACACACTGCCAGTACCTATTTTTGGTTCTGTGTCGTTCCCTTATGCTTATGGGTAGGTATGTAATGTGCGATTAATATTACATATTAATTATTCATTATCTTTTTGATTTACTCTCTATTCAAAGTTGTATTCTGCAAATTTCGTTACCTTTTTGGATCTGGAAATATCTAATGCTTTATAGTCTGACAAAACTGTCTCATGCCTGGGTTCTTTTATCCCGTCTAAAAACTCAAAACTTAAACTTATGAAGACATAACAACAATGTTTAACAAAGATATGTCCTTTTTCAGCCAAAGATTCGATTCTATCAAACTTAAAAGTATTGCTTCTTGAGGGAAGTCCAAATAAAGAGTTTAAATTGAAGACGGAATACAGTAACAGAGTGGTGGCCCTCAATCAGAACACCAAAACTCTGATGACATCACTAGATGTTTGGCAACGGGTTGAGAAGATGAGACTGCAGCCTGTCAGGTACATGCAAGTAAGTATATGGATATAATAGTTTGATTTGACCCCCTACCAACATGCTATTTTATATGCCGAAGCTGACACATAAGATACTCAGAGAGTTAATAGTAGTAAAGTTTAAACTCAGTCCTTTGTACAATGGTGATCACTCGTCTTTGTAGAATTATTGCCATCGGAGAATCCTGTCGTTAGGCTTGATATTAGTTCTCCAATAATCAGGTATCCAATAGACTTTGCTTGACACCTAGCTAAATTCATTGGTCTAGCTTATATATATCTAGTGAAAATACCTTAAGTTAATATAAAATTACATAAAATATAACATAGTTTATTCTTCATACAAATCGTTACCTACCTTTCAGGTGTGGGACGCGTCATCAGATGCAATGATATCATTCAGTAGCTCAGAACTACTTGATGATGATGTTGCCTATATTGTGGAGAACAATGTCTTGCTGCACGCTGTCAACCAAGAGTTGGCATCAAGTAAAAACAATATCAGCATAATATATGATGCTAAGATTGCCGGCTATCAACTACCCAAACAAGATAATTCCAGAGTTAAAAGTCATGTTCAAATGGCTAATGGAGACACATACACTTGTCAGCTCCTGGTAAGTGCAGTTTTATTATTTTTTAGTTTCCAAACAGATAATGTGGAAGATATTAGGGGCGGCCTAGGTTTTGTAGTGGATGATATGATGATGATGACTCAATTACATGTAACCTATAGGTGTTTTAAATTTAAACTGTAGTGCAAGGTGTATGGGATACATATGCAATTCTTTTTTATTCAATTTTATCTCACATTAGGAAGTCATTAGACAAGACACGAGGGATTCAAATGGTCTGGTCAGACTCTACATGGGCCTTGATTATTTTATTTTTTGATTTTGTGGCTTTGGCCTTATTAGTTAACACAATGCAGTTATAATGTTCAAGCTAGACATGAAGTGTTGTATAATTATCTTTGTTAGTGTATTTCAATTAATTGAATTCAATTACCTAAATTGACCTTGCATGAATAAAACTATTTTTATTTCATTTTAAATTATATAATCTGCAAAGGTTGAATAGCAAATGTAGACTTTCTTATAATTAAGTAAAGTGGTACTTATAATAAAACTAGCTTTTACCCGCGGCTTCGCTCGCGTCACAAAAGAATAAAAAGTAGCCTATGTGACACATATACAATACACACAGCGCCATCTATACCAATACTTTTGTTTTTCCTCGGGAATATCATTTTTTCCGGGTTAAAAAGTACCCTATTATTTAATCCGGACTTCTAACTTTACGTCTGCAAAAATTCAAAGCAATCGGTTGAGTAGTTACGGCGTGAAGGTGGAACAAACAAACAAACAAACAAACTCACTTTCACATTTATAATATTAGTAAGGATAGTAAGGATAAGGATTATAAAGGTGAATTATATTAAGTACATAATATTATACACCTACACCAGTACTTATATTAAGGTAACTAGACTATAGAACACATTAACAAATAATGTATTGTTAACAATAACTGCTCGAGCTCAGAGGCCTTAGTACGAGTTGGATTTACGTTTAAAGTAATCGTAACGAGTACGCGTTTGGCGCTTTGATTGGTTGCTTCATTGGCGCCAGCCAATCACAGTGCCGAACGCGTACTCGTTTCGAATACTTTGAACGTACATCAAACTCGTACTAAGGCCTCAGATCTATTTAGGGTGGCTGATTCAGTTTGTTTTCAATCCGACTTAATTTTGCTTCTGTTGTCTCTATTAGTTTATTTACTCGCTTAGTGAGTTCTAGTAACTGAGTTTTAATATCGACCATACATATTTCTTGTATCGCGTTTATATTAAGAGATGTTGGTCTGACTCTGTCTGCATTACTTGCAGAATTTGTTTTCTTTCTCCTCTCAACTTGTTGACTCTCTACTGAATATCTGTCAAACAAATTACTTCTTCTCTTTACTTGACTCTGTTTAATCATTTCCTCTTCGTCTTTGCTTCGTTTTAGTCTAAAGACGTAATTATTGTTGTGTTTTATACTTTTTTGTGTAATCTTCCGGCTGGCCACCATTTTATATACTGATGTTATTAGGTCTTTCGGAATCTGAAATCAAAAGATACAATGTACAATCATTGACATGTTATACAAAATAATGAATTTTCAAAATTAATGAGTATTCGAGATTACATGGCTATGGCGTTACTTATTATTCATTCATGTTGAGTGTTTCATTACATTAAACCTGCGATGCCAGATGGCGTATTCGTTGCCAGTGGATTAAGTTGGTTCTTACCCTGTTTTCCCTCGGATCGTTGGGTCTTATAGTAAGCGTGCGTGTATGCGACGCAGTTAGTAGCGCCCCCCAGCGTAACACGCCTAGCAACTGCTTGGGTGCACAAGTCAGTAGTGAGCTGAACAGCATACTCTCCAAGTGCGCAACTAACTGTGTCTGACGGACTAGTCGGTCCAATCCAGCACTCTCTTGTAGGGCCTGGAAAGTAAAACGATTCATTATCATCAGTAGAAATTCACTCCAATACTCTTGTAATTTCGGCCCTTAGATACAGTTGCTAAGACGAGATCTTAGTTTTTAAAGCACCGGTTACAGTTCGGAAATAATAATATATTGCCCAAACTCAGCCTTCGTAAACACAATACAGCGATACACTAAACATTTACCGGTAAGAAGCATAAGGAGGAACTTAATGTAATAAGACTAAGGTATACCTGAATATCGCTAACAGCCAATCCAACCAACAGATTGGTCAATATAACAGTGACAAGCAAAACAAATATGAGGAACATTCCATGTGCAGTGACAGGATAATCAGACTCCGTGGTACTGTTACTGTAGAATATGTCCTCGTACTCCAACTCGCCCGACATCATCATCACTGTCTTCACCAAACTGGCTGGTAGTTTGAACGCAGCATAGTTGCTGAACAGCACGCTGAATGCAAGCCCAAAGGCTATGAGCAAGCAACTGTATGCTAATAAAAATGTTGCGAAGTTCACTGTCACTGGAAATTTAAAAAATATGTATGAAATTACCATTACATTACCAAATTGGAATTAGAATTTTACATTAGACAGACATGTGCTTTTTTTTAATTTCCAGTGGCATAACTATAGGGTGGAAAGTCGACAAAATGCCATAGTCCATCAGCTGGACCCTCGTTCAGAGGTTTTCGTCTGGATTCTCTTATTTACATTTGTTAGGATACCGCTTCGATTAATTTGACACAAACCCCTGTCGGTATAGTTATGCCACTGAGAGTTTCTGTGAGTTAATTAATATTGTAATGTATTAAAAATTACCTGTAGTAAACATTTGGACATATAATCCAAACGTTGGGAACCGACCGATGATCATCATGAGCTCTAGCCAACAGAAGAAAATCGTGATAGCTGCTATATCGTGCTGCCAACTTGACGTGTTTGTCCTTATTTCACCGTTATCCCAACTTGGTATCTATAACATTAAATACGTAAATTCATTAAAATAATACACTTGTTTAAGGCTTTTCATAGCTTATTTGTCATTCACTGGATTGGTCTCATTTTAAATGTGTCATATGTTTGTCTAGTCTAGATAAAACTATACTCATCAAACACTTTTCAGCTCACTGTAAATTTAGAATAACGATTTCAATTATAGCGATCTTCATTGTGCCAAAAACAACATTTGCTGCATATCTTACCGTACATAAAAATACGCCGACTATTATCAGGCATTGCAACCAGTTTTCCCATTGTCTGATGTACGCTGACCAATCTAAACATGACTGAAATACCTCTTTCGATAAGAAACATAGATTCAGTAGTATTATGAGGTATTGGACTGGTCGAAGATATGTAGGTACGTGGCAAGTTCTGGACTCACATAGAAAGATCTCTGGAATAAAAAAAATATATGAGCACAATAGAACTATTTAATTAGCGAAATAGCTATTAGTTTCGTAATAAGGCATAGCAGTACCGGTATCACCAAGTGATTGGCACACCAGTGGACCAAACAATAAAGATGTACGCCATTTTAATACTTACGAAGAATGTAGAGACTGTACAGAGTAATAAACAGCGCATGATAGATGAAACTCATTACGAAAAACTTCCTTATTCGGCGCCATTTCAAGAACAGAAACGTTTCTGCAACTGGATGTTTCAATACGTCTTTACGGCCAACCTGTAACGCAGTACATGTTACTTGTAGATCGTCGAATATGTTTGACGTGCCTTTAGTCAGGGCACGTCAAACATGGCTGTTATACCTCTCTGTGGTTTAAAGTGATTCCATACCTCAATGAATGCGAGTAAGAGCTCAGCTTCACCTCTACTCAGGCACGGAACTAATGGTCTGAAGTCTATAACCAGTTCGCAGTCAACATCCCCTATCTCATGCTCGCTGACATGAACAGCATCGTCGAACTTGCCCAAGTATCGAGGGATCACATCAGGCACGCGACGTACTATGAACGAAAGCGCCGACACCCCACCGTTTGTACGCAGAGTCACGTCGCCGCCATAATCTGAAAGCAATTTATGAATTGTTTGGAAAATATTTCACTACATTAGTAAGAAAAATATAGTTTCGACTTTTGAGATATCGACGTACTATAAACAACCTAAATATATGCGATGGTGAATCATTAAAACAAGTTTTCGAAAGTTTGAACATTGAAAAAGAAGGGTAATTAATTACCGGCCAGTTAGTTTGTTTTCTATTTATAGTTATGTTTCGTTACCTAGTAACAACAACACGCAGGCGGAAAATTCATTTAAGGCGGCTATATGTAACGGTGTGTATCCGAAGTTGTCTGATGCATTCGGGTCGGCTCCTGCAGACAGCAGCGTCCGGGCTACGTCGCAGGCTCGAGCTCCTCTCACAATAGCTCCGTGCAGTGGCGTGCGACCGTCGCTGTCACGTGCACGAACATCCGCGCGCTTGCATACTAACAGCTCAACCACTTCCAAAGATTGTGCTAATGCAGCTGTAACGTAAATAAACAAATTATGAAACAAAACAAAACATTAAAGTAAAATTTGTAAAAATAGTACCAATTTGAATATACCTAAATGTAGCGGGGTCTGTCCTCTAACGTTTGGTAAATCAATCCTCGATCCATGCTCAAGAAGTAACCGCGCGCACTCTGCGTGGCCATCCTCTGCTGCAAGATGTAAGGCGGTCGCCCGACCAGCACCCAAAGCTGCTCGGACGTCGGCACCGGCATCCAATAATAACTTAGTGCATATTGCCGACCCGAGAGAAGCGGCCACATGCAAGGGAGTTTCAGTGAAGACCTAAACAGGTTCGGGGCTATATTGTTTTGGATCGTTTACATTGTCTTATTTATTTATATTAAATGATGATTTATCATCTGGTTTGTGTTCGATTTAAGATCAATACAGGTCGCACCTGTGGTGTGTCAGGACAAGCGCCTGCTTCCAGTAACGCCTTCACAACTACCGGCGCGTCGCTGAGCACCGCGTAATGTAAGGGAGACCGGTCGTTGAGACCTGCATTCACGTCCGCTCCGTGAGCAATTAGCACCTGTGGAAATAAATTAAATATATTACAACATTACTTTAGTGGGTCATCTTTCATCTTTAAAAATATTCTGTTTACCTTGACGCACGCCAAACTCTTCGCGCTTGCGGCGCAATGTAGTGGTGTGGCTTTTCTGTCTGTCGACGAGTCCCACATGTTTGGGTTTGCTCCGTGCTCCAGTAACAGTTTGGCACATTCTTCGCTGCCTACCAAACAGCTTAAATGCAGACATGACCTGTAAGAAGATACTGTGAATTTTGTACCCCGTAACAATCGTCTAATCCATATGTATGATCAGTGGTTTGTACCTTCCAGCTTCATCGGTTCTGTTTGGATCTAAACCCAACTTCAACAACTTTGACAGCAGCGAACTCCTACCATGCCAACATGCCCATAAGCCAGCAGTTACAATTCCATCTTCTACATTAGCTGCTAGTTCTATTGCCTCGTCATAGTGTCCTGTCGCTATAGTAGCAGATATTTCTTCAGCTAGAGGGAGATGTCGCAAGTTGTATTCAATTTCATCTGAAACACGTGCGGTGAAAACAAATGTTACGGCGGGCCGGTGTACCATCGCGCGCGAATGGATTTATAACACTAATATTGGAATTGAAGTAGGAATGTAGTTATTTTTTCCTTGGGTGAGTAGGTACCAGTAAGGTGAGTCAAAGGAAAACATTCTTACGTAAATTGCTTGCACTATTACTTTTTTTATTTTAAGTCAATACATTATAAGATAACACAAAGAGACAGTTCACAATTACCTAGTTCCCAAATATCTGGTGATGGTTTGACTCGAAGCCGTTCCGCGAGGTCCACACCATGTGCGGACTCGTCGCTGGAGATGTAGGGTGCATCGACGTCGTCGTCCGTGTCCTCGGCCACCTGACTCATAGCACCACACCATCGTGCACTCCCTTCGCGGAAAACCTGACAACACACACCCCTTGTAACACTAAAACTTGTGTATTATTTAACGTCACTCGCCTCGCCTTTGATCTTAATAATGTTAAGCAATACATAAAACTGATTCGTTACAGGATATATAACCGCATTGTGGCAAAATTACTTTGTTCCCCGGGAGCTGCTAAATGTTGCGCAGACACATTTCGAGTTACTCTGTAAACCATGTGTTCCTAGTTGTATAAATAACAAATTTCAATATAACATGGATATATTGTTATGGAATATAAATGACCTTTTTCCTTCTTATCTCTGGTTTGCGAACGTGTGTTTCCGTGTCCCGCGGACGAGGCGCGAATGAGCGTATCATTGCGCGTGCTCACGCTCCACTGAAAACTGAAAGTTACCCAACTCCCGCTCTTGTCGTCCCCGCCGATGGATAGTATAATAACACGAGAAATAATCTAAATTATTGCTTCTAAGATTTCGTCATTTTTCGAACCAGACAAAGCATTGTAGCTAAGAAATCATTTTTACAAACATATCTATTGTATTAATTTTACCAAAATATTTTTTTTGTTTAAATTTTTTATCTGTGCTATGCATATGTAGGTACTAATGCATGGTTTTGATAGCGCAACCAATGACCATCACATGTGTCGCGACAAGCCCACGCAATTATTTTGGGAACCACTCAACTAATGCCCGGATTCTTTCATTCTCGAGACAGATTCCCGTTGATTACATCGGTATTCGACATCATAACAAATGTGTTAAGAATTGTATCTCTAAAATATCAGAATCTGTTTATAATTTAGAAGTGAATACTTAGTTAACTTACGTACAAACACAATAGATGGTGCTGACTATTCGCTTTACTTATCTTCTTTTTAACTCTCAATAACTATACAACTTTCAATATACTAGGTCTTATGGCAATATACATAATACATAACGGCTACAAAATGATGACCAGATTATAGTCGTAATATTATGAATAAGCAATTATCCTTCAAGATCTTGTACATCCATTGCTAAATTCACCATGTCATAAAGTGACCAAAACCACCTGCTGTACGAGTGAAACATGCAAACAATGAAATCAAACTTCCAATATTAGCACGTCATAACCGCATGCTTCTGGCAGAGGTACTTACTGGAATCAAGGCGTTTTATAAATGATGCTGTTTAGATAATACTCGCCCACTTGTAGTTACTCAAATAAATATGACAATACATCATTTTGTCAATTTCTTTTCTAACATAATTGAAAAATTGAAAACAATACTGGAGATAGTACCTACGTTGTAAATACAATGTTTAGCTACATTAAAGCAGTTCTCCTAGGCGCTAGTGCTGAATACTTTAGGTTCCGAGAAGTTCGTTAAAATTTTAATGAGCGTGTTTAACAGGACTGTATAGTTGTAGACGTCACAGCCATTCTTATGAAAGGGGCCAAAATATTCACAACATTTTCATAAAAACACTGTATTTACACGTTTATTATAGTTACCATCAAGGTTCACAGGTTATTTTAATCTCTGTTTAGACATGCGTCTAACTGATGGGGTTCGTGTAAATGGAATCTTTACAAAATCGCACTAATTATGTGCTCGCATTCCAATCTCCTTGCTTACAAATGATCTTTGACATGTTAAAGCAAACAGACAAAGGCTTGTGAGGGCTTGTTTGTTCGATGTTCGTCATTTCAATGTTCCTTTGTTGTTTATAATGTCGGGAAACCGGCAACTAGCCAGCTTGCTACCGTTCAACATAATAAATATCGAGAAATTAATTTTGATACAGAACAGAGAATGAATGGAAGTGGGAGTTCCTTTCACGTGGACAATAAATTAATCTTGTGAAACAATGTTTTGTTTGTAAACTTAAGAGAAATACAAAGTTCGCGTCAATAATATATGGTATTACCATAAAAAACAACACTTGCTCTGTTTCATCAGTTGACTCACTACCTACATGCAGAATTGTATGTTAACTGCGAAGCACGAAAGTGTTAAACCCAGATATACCCAGCTTACCGTGTTTGAGGTTTCCTGCTCCGACTCTCGCATCATGGTGCTCCCGTCTGGTTTCTGCCGGTGAACACTCCAGTTAAGGAGCTCCTCGTCATTATTTCTTCACCAAACACTTTTTAATTCTATATCGATCCCACTGACCTAATAGATCATTTCGCAACGTCCTAGTTTCTGAATAACGCCGGATGTTTTGGGAACTAGAAGTCGAACTTTTTCCACGAACTTTTTCATTCAATCTTGACATTTATTTCATCTTTGATATGAGCCGTGGAAAATATATTCATTCTTCGAAGTTTTCTCGTGAAATATAGCGAAGGTTTGTACCTGTGTAAAAACTACACCACAATACATCATTCACTTTAATTTGTTACTAGTGAATGATAAGTACTTAAATGTTCTCATTTCTGGTCGAAACTCAAGTAAAATACCAACATTGGTAAATAAACTCGCCTTGTTAGTCGTAAACTACACAAAATATCTCGTTTTTAAGAACTCAGAACTTAAACCAGGTTTACTAAAACTAATATTGAAGACTAAACACTAACAACTCTGAACAACTTGTACATTTTTTCTCTTGACCATGACACACGAAAACATGCGCTACAATAGTGACAGTAGAATAAACAAACTTGGGAATATTTTAAACCAAAAATCTATTTATAAAAAACGGACAACTTATTCGCAATCAAAATGGCACGTGGGGATGAACTAGGAAAATGTTTGTTGTGGTTTACTTTTCATTACTTATGGTAGACAATGTCCTGATACGTTTGTGAATTGGTCTTTTGCATCGTTTTTCGAGACGAAACGTTTTACATTTTGTCTTGTGATATATACAACAAAATCCTTGTTTAGCGAGGTCAGCAGTCTAACCTAGAAAATTATGTGCCGAGTACTTATCACAAAATATTTGATTCAATTTTCTTTTCTTCTAAACTCATCAATCTTTTCATAGCAACGCGAGCATACTGAAAGACCGTCGCCGTCACTTTCTTAAAGTTTCTTGCATAGATTTTTTCATAAAGGAACTACCTTTTATAGCCTTACTTACGTCTTAGTTACTACTTGCTAATCACAGCCAAGTAAAACCAGTAAATATAAGAAACGATAAAGGAAAATATCTCAAGGATCTTAATTTGGAATCGATGCATTGCAATAACAATGTGTGTACAGGAAAAATCTTGTCTCAATGTAATAAATTAATTAAAACTATTTATGTACCTACTAATTGCTACTCTTCAGGATTTTCTTAATCATTTGACTGACTTCATTCAAATAATACCTAGGTTTTTCTGGGCAGAAGATTAGATTTAGTCGTAGCAACAAAATAATATCACCTACCATTCAGTAAAAAAATTGCATTGTGTGTTTGCATGATGCATTGGTGGAATCGAAAGAAAATATACTTAAATCTGTCGTCGGCGATATTTCCGAACCGATTCGACCCTCAAACCTTTAAGAAAAGAGCGTATTCCTTTTTTAAAGGCCGGCAACGCACCTGTGACTCTTCTGTTGTTGCGGATGTCCATTGACAGCACTGATCGCTTACCATCAGGTGACTCGTCTGGTCGTTGGCCTCCTATTCCGTAAAAAACCTATACTACCTATAAGTAATTTATTACATAGATAATTTTGCACTTGTTTTGTGTTATTGATTCCAACAACAAAAAGGTATAATATCGGACAAAACGTATGGCATCGTAAGAAGATATCAGAAAATGTTTAATTATGTAGCGTCTGGTTCTACTCTAAACATTGATTTGAATCAGTAAACCTGGTGAACTTTAATATCATACGTATGATGCGTACAGTTCCAGTTCCAAGACCTAATTCCAAACGAAAAGGTAATTAAAAATACCTTTTGCTTCACTGTCGTTTCCTTTTTACATGTGGACAGATCGGACCAACCTACTGAATTTACATAAACCAAATCAATATGAATTAGTTTTGTTAATAAGGTTCTCGTAAAGTGCAATTTTTTGAGCCTAGTCTTTGAATTGTGACTGATTTATCACCTAGGTAAGTAATCACGTAGCTTTTGTTAAAAGCTCGGTTTTAGCATCAGTCATAATTTAATAACAGAACACCGTTCTGTTTGCCTAAACGCGAAGCTATGAATAGTTTTTGCAAAATATTTTTTAAGAATTTTGTCTTCGAATATGAAATATTAATATTAGTAGGTCTGCTAACAAGGCCTAAACAATTGGACTATTTTATGTAAGAGCAAAAAGATGAAGTCCACGTTTCTTCTATTTAATTGCAACACACTTTCACCTTCACTGCACTTCACAGAACACATGTGGACATTTTCCACGAACACTTGGCGTACTTAGATCGTTTAAGGAACAAACAGGTACGCGGATCGACGCCCAGCACTGTTGTACCGCAGAATATCGCTGCACCGGCTGCGAAGCTGCTCACTCGCCATACACAAATAAACCTCCTCAGCTAATGATTACACAGACACACCATCTGTTTACTATGAATTTTAATAACCAATTTTCTATTCTTATGATTTCCTGTATTACACTATTGTTCTGTCATATTACCAAATTATAACAATTTTCAAAAGTATTCTGCAATTATTTTAAGTGCATCTGCTACATAGTTGGGTATTATCTTCGGTGATTCCATATTTTTAAATTTAAAAAGGTTTCTTCTCGTAGATCGCGACATTATTACTTTTATGTCGAGTAATTTATTACATTCGAGTTGTCCAACATTTGGCAAAAGTGTGAAAAATAACTCGAAGATGCGTAGGTAGGTGGTAGTCTGTATTTAACAAGATTAAGTAATTCAAAGTATTTCCTGCAACTGAAAATAACCATAGAGATTGATGAATTTCGGCGAAAAAATTGGGGCATTTAGCATTTGAATATTTACCCTGAATACACCTGAATTGGAATGATATATTTTTAATTCGTGTATTCTTGATTTTCTGTTTTGTTTAGTTCTGTCATTCATATGTTTTAACATAAGCTGTCAGTCCATATATAACTTGAACCAATCTTCATCAGAATACTGTCCGTCTATTCCAGATAGGTGCAGATGGAGCTAATTCAGCGGTCCGTAAAGCAATGGGAGTGCAGTATCTATCATGGAACTATGACCAGATGGGCGTTGTAGCGACACTCAACTTGGCTGAGGTGAGCAAAGTTATTGTATAGGTACTAGCGATACGACCATCCACGCGATGTCATCTACCACATTAATTTTTCTATTGACTGGTAAAAAACGCATGAAAATTGGCTCAGCAGTTTCAGTTTCAGTTTTCAGCAAGCCAACGCAAACAGACAGACGCAGCGGGGTCGTTGTTTTGCGACTGTAAAGATCAACAAAATGTTTTCTATGATGAGAAGTGTTGGTTTGTATTTCTCCCAGTGTACCTTACTTTCTTTAAAACTTTGTAAACGTGTTAAAAATGGCTGTAACACGATTTTCTCTACCCGTTTGTTCTACATTGACGCCAATATTTACTAAATGAATTTTGATCTTGATTCTAGATTAATTTCAATAGTTTTTATAGTAACTACAGCTAACTAGTCTAATGTTGTTTATTTAGATAAAGTAGGTACTATGCTTTGTAAATACTAACAATTCTTGATCCAAGGCTGTCCGGTAACAAGTGTACTATTTATAACGATTATCCTACCGGCAGGTATACTTGTTATTCTTTACACAAGCATAATTATTTAATCTATAGGTAAAGGTATTAATATGTAGAAATACGTCGCGTTATTTAAATTGAATAGCACTTCCTGAACATGTATCACATTCAGCGGTAGGTGTCCGATTTTTGGGTTTTGTTCATACGACTTTTTGATGTTTTTACTCCAATTAAGTACCTATCTAATACAAACTGGTCAAAAAACAGCAGAAATATAGGTACTTACCTATTACATAAACGTCGTTTAACTAGTATATACTTTATTCTCTTTATCTCCCAGGAATGTACGAACACCACAGCTTGGCAACGCTGGATACCTTCAGGTCCCATCGCCATCCTTCCACTGGACTCTAAGCGAAGTTCCCTGGTCTGGTGTACTTGGCAGGACCACGCTCAACAACTGCTGAAACTTCCAGAAGACCAGTTCGTTGATGCCCTGAATGATGCACTGGTAATAAAAGCCTTACTTTTATTGGATACTCTATTAAATTAGATTTACCGCTTTAGTGCCTTCATATGAAGATAGTTCGAGCATATTCCAACAGATGGTGCCTATCAAAATCGGATGACAAGCTAAGTTCTATATCGCGCTAGCAAAGTTTTAACCCTTGTTTGTGAATCCGCTAATATTGATAAAGAGCGATGTTCTATTTCTACTGCTAGAATTTTTTATTTGAAATATATTTTATCGTGTTCTTTGATTTCGTTTTACAAATGGATACAATTAATTTTATAGATTAAAAATACTAGCGGGCAAGTTTTGATTGGCACCTTGGCAAACGTACAATCCGCCATTTGTTATACAAGAAAATATATATCTTGATTACAAATTCTATGGACGTAGTGATCTTGTAGCCAGATCTCGTACAATAATGTTATGGTAACATAAAACATTGAAATATTGACCTACATGAAAAGATACTTAGTTTTGTTTTGCTTTTTAATAAGTTTTTTTGACCATTAAAGCTTTGATTCTCAAAGTTCTATTTAAACAAAGTTATATTTATAATACTATTCATATTTGTTCTAGTGGAAACAATATCCGCGTAGTGGTAGCGTGGAGACAGTTACTTCATGGACGACCTCCTGGCTACGGCGCGTAGGTCTACCTGACGGGGCAGCGCGACAACTGCCCCCTTCTATTCGAAACATCACTCCTAACTCCCGCGCCGCCTTCCCACTGGCCTTCGGTCATAGCACGAGATACATTGCGCCTGGCGTCGTACTCGTTGGGTAATACATAATTTTTTTTTTTTTTATTTGGTTCACAAAACTGAATACAATCAAACAAACATATAAAATACCGCAAGAAACTTAATTAAGATTATATCGTACTAGATGTGAACACGGCATGCATAATTGAAAAATCTTACATTACTAAATGGAAACAAAAACTTTAGTTCAAAGTGTGTAAAAAGATGTTAGCTTCTTGAAAGAGGCAAGAGAATCGAGACGGAAGACATCAATGTCTTTACAAATGTTATTAGAATAACAACACATACGGTACATGGGCGAGTGCTGGCCAAGATTTTAATTTAGTTATTCAGGAAAATAAATAATATTACAGAAAAGAAAGCTATAATAATAATGTTCAACATTTGGACTTTACCATGACGACGTCGCCCTTTCTGACACCTGCAGCTTGTATCAAAAGTTTTTTTCTTGCAGAGATGCGGCACATCGAGTACATCCCTTGGCTGGTCAAGGAGTCAACCTCGGTTTCGGCGACGTCGCAGACCTAACTGCGGCATTGTCAAATGCCATGTACAGCGGTTTAGACATAAGTAAGTGTAGTATTATAATTATCGGAAGTCTAACCTTATTCATTATCATTTCTTATGTGTAAACAAATTTTATATTAAGTAAGAAGCGCCATCTTGTGAGCATCAAGACGAAAATACTCATTACGATTTGAGTCATTGATTAAAAATAGTTAATACGCTAATATTTTGTAATAGATGGCGCAACTTGTCTCCAAGCGCACGACAGATATTAAAAGGCCGCGGATCAAAGTCCTGATTATGTTGTTTTTAAAAAATATATATATTAATTTGTTTCTTATCATGCCTTTTAGTAAATTGAATGACAGTGAATTAAATTTAAAACCCTTTTTATTCAAAATCGGGTCCAATTCCAAATTCTGTGGTATCTATCACCGACAATTTGTAAAAAATATCTAAATGTCTAAGAATTGATATTGTAATAATTGTATAAGGTGGGCACAATTTTTTATAGGAAGGGGAACCAAACGCCTGATGATAATCAAATAGCATTACCCATGCACACAACACTACAGTAGCTAAATGCGTTGCCGACCTTAAAGTTAAAATACACAATTCTCTACCAACGAATATTCTGGAAATATAAGTACCGTCTATGAAATTTTAATAAGTTTGTTTGTTCTAGCTCACACTGCTTGGATGTCGACATACGAGAGTACTAGACAACGACACAACGTACCGACACAAGTTATGATCGAGATGATGCATAGACTGTACACCGTCGATCTAATGCCCGTTGTATTGGCCAGGAGCGTCGGCCTACAAATCACCAACGCACTACAACCTCTGAAGGTATGGTATACCATACCAGGTATACCTGGAATTACCGAATTACTTTGACAATTGTTTCTAGGCCTATTTATTGTCCACGTGAGCTCCACTTCATTAGCGCGCTTTCGTCAATTGACGATTTTAAGGCGTATGCTTGCATTTTACATACAAACAAACCGTGGATCGGCAACGTCGCGGTCACTCATGATGGCAATCTGCCATGGGCAATACGCCCATCGTAAGTTGTATGCTTATGTCAGCTGACGCATCATGGACTGTAGGCCTAATGTTCGCCTATTTATTAACCCCTGGTATGCCGGAACGTAGATATATGCGAGACACAATGTATTTTCTATTGTGTCTCATATGCCGTTAAGATAAGAGGTTAATTTATTCAGCTTGAGTCATTATATTATATCAAATATATATTTATAACAACAGTACATAATGTACTAACTTGCATACTTGCATAATATTATGCTTCATCTCATACGCTACAAAACGCTTCGTTTACGGAAAATGTATGGACTCGTATTTCTTTCGTCCTATCCTAAGATACGACATGTGCATATGAGTTTGTGACTCGCACACAGCATCTGTGACCACGATTGCATATTAAGTTTCAGAGTGTCAAGTTTAATCCCCGGTTAGAGAGAAACCCTATATTTTTATCTAATTGAAATTAGTACCTAAGTAGTAAATAAAAAGAAGAAAGAACGAAGAATTACAACGAATGGTCACTGTTATGAATGATGCGTTAGAAAGGAAAGGTATGTAAAGGTAAATGTGAACAAGACGAAAGTGTTGGTGATAGAAAGAAATGAGGTGATAACAGAATGTCAGGTAATGATAGGTGATGAAAAATTGGAACAAGTGAATGAATTTGTGTATCTGGGATCACTATTTACGAGAGATGGAAAGTGTCACGGGGATATTGAAAGGAGAGTTAAAACGGGAAATAGTGTTAATGGTGCCTTACACTCTGCAATATCGAGTAAAATAATAACCAGCAAAGCTCGGCTTGCTGTAATGCAGTGTGTATTGACACCAACGCTTATGTATGGTAGTGAATCATGGGTGTGGCAGAAGAAGCATGAAAGCAGGATTAATGCGGTGGAAATGAGAGCCCTGAGAAGTATGTGTGGACTAAAGTTGAGTGATTGAGTGAAAAATAGTGTTATTAGAGAAAAGTGTGGATTGAAAGATGATGTAGTAACAAGCATTGAAAAGGGAATGTTACGCTGGTTTGGACATGTAGAAAGGATGGATAAAAGTAGAGTAACGAAAGATGTATACAGAGCGGATATGAATGGGACCGTCGGTAGAGGGCGCCCTAGACGGACATATAGTGACCAGATTGGCGATATAATAAAGAAGGGCCTAATTAAAAGTACCCTTAACCGACGAGTATGCATGAAAAGATTGATGACTGTTGATGAACCGAAAGAGGTAGGTATGTAGGAAGCGTAGTATTTGGCTTTCCATAGTCTCTGCCTACCCCCATGGGAGACAGGCGTGAAGTTATGTATGTATGTAGTAGATAAAAAGATTTTTCTAGAAATGTCTCGTGATTTTAAGTGGTTCTTGTTTTATTAGCAAGTTGTACACGCTCTTCGAGCAAACAAAACGTGCTAATCGATCTGATAAAACGTAGCACACGTACGGTAATACAAAAACAAACAAGTAAATTTATAATATGTAATTTTATCATTTATTTAAAATTCCCCTAAAGTTACATTTTTAAATACTAGGTACTTAAAAAACAGAATAATAATTTAAAATAAAATAAGTATGTGCCTGACCCAGTTCTGGTAAATGACCAGATCACGTTATACTGGGACCGGTCTATCATGTCTGACAGGACTATTGTAGCCAATAAACCTGATATAGACTGAAAAGTGCGCCGCACGATGATAACCGATGTCCTATGATGAGAAGCTGAAAAAGATAAACTAATAAAATATCTTGATTTAGCTTACGAGTTTGTCGACATGTGGAGTGTGGATTCGGCTATCATTGTGCCGATAGTCGTATCGGCCAATGGGTTGATTCCTAACAGCCTCGACAACCACCTTAGGAGGCAGGCGTTAGGTGGATGGGTCAGGATGATACAGGATGAGGAGGTTTTTGTCTCTGGAGCCCTAACCACCGGTAGCTTGGACCATGCTACCGCTACTGGTCGGCTCATATTTTTATATATATGAATTGTATGTAATTATTATAGCTATCAAAAATTAAATTGTTCATTTAGTGAAGATATTATAGGTCGTTTCGAAGCGTAGACCCGTCTATAGAAGAACGAGCAAAAATCTACCCCTATTTTTAATCGCTATTTATTTTCTTCTAAATGTATTGGAACTTTTATCCAACAAGGATATGCCATCTCCATCGTACCTTATTCTAAAATGTACACATACATACCTTAAATTACAATATTACCATACTTACAAATAATTATTTAAGTAATTTAATTACAGTAATTTAACACAATAAGTTAATAACTACTAATTACTCTTGGACAGTTTTAAAATCTACCATGTTGTTACAAAATAACACGGAGCCGTATTTTGTCCATTGTATCTTTGAACAACATGTTTATTAGATTTCAAGTTCTTGATAAAAGGCCACGTGCGAAATTTAGGGGTTTTTATGGCTAGACTTGTAAAATTAAGGTTGTAAACCAAAATAGGTAAGTAGGAGACGTGGTCATTTTTGACAACCGCTAAAAAACTCCTGCATGTTTTTATTTCATATTCGTATTATGTCCTTTACCGCTTGCCGCATCATGCCTGTATATGAGACACAATAGAAAATACATAGTGTCTCGCGTGGATCCACGTTTAGTTAGACACACGACGGGTTAATCAAAATGTAAATAACATAATATTCTAGTAATTTCCAATAGCTAAGTAATCTCTGTGGATATGATAAAAGATAAACTATCAAGGTAATTGATCGATTGTGTTATTTTCTTGTACGTAAATGTGTCATTATACGTCGTGAGAAGTTCCCCAGACATGTGAGTGAATGTAATACCTACCTATGTGGGATTTTACTTTACTTGCAAATCTTTCACTGAGTATTTTCTTAAATAAAAAAGTATTGAGAGATTGAGACTGACTTTCATTCTTCTTCTTATGGTGCTGAAGGTAGGCCGTCAGCTTTTTGAATTGGTCCTTGTCATTGACCAAGCAAAAAAGTTGTTCTTCAGAGCTGATACCGGTCCACTCCCGAATATTGCGCAGCCACGACTTTTTCCTTCGCCCAGCGCTTCTTTTCCCTTCCACCTTTCATTAATTTCATTAATCGATGTAATTATACACTTCGTTTCTCAAGTTTTATAAAGCACGATCCCGTTTTTTCCCGTACTCGTTCGTGATTTTTGATAAAAAGTAAAAAAATAGTATTGGATAAAAAGTATCCTATGACCGTCTCCTGCTTCTAAGTTACCGCCCCACCAATTATCATCCAAATCGATTTAGCGGTTGTTGAGTTAAAAATAGTGTAACTAACACGACTTTCTGTTTAATGATGTTGGCATAATGTGTGTTCGGCGCATGCATTCATCCTTGGCCAAAACTTGACCCCAATGTCATGGACGTCTAGCCTTTTTCTGTATTACGAAAAATTTGCTTTGAATTTAACTGGTTATCAACCCTAATAAAAAACGGTTCGGCATCAAAACCGCGATTTTTATATAACTATTAAAACGCGTGCGATGACACAATGTCTTAAGTCTTACCCAAGAGTGCAATCGTTCCGTGTCTGTACTTTCATAATATTGATTACAAACATACCCACCTATATTACATTATTTACACTGATGCGTAATCATATACCATTGTCAGTGTGGATTTATTTATGATCCATTGTTTTATTTTAACAGCCTTGTTTAGTACACTCAAGAGGTAAATATGAGCTCAGATTATTTTATTTTGATACCTGGAGCTGGAAATACGATAGTTGACAACTATTCAAATTCAATACTTTTATCGAAACGTCATAAACGATACTGTTCTATGAATTTTGTACGAAATACCATCTTATGACATCATCATATTTTCGCGTCAAATAGCACACTTATAATATCTAAAAAAATGCTAGAATGAATCGAAAATTAAGTATATCAGCAAATCAATCAATAAAAGTGTAACTATTTTTCAATATTTAATTGGACTGAAAAATCTAAATAATTTATTTTTGACCCAGAAAACTACCCGATGGTAGTTTACGTCGTCATTTGTTAAGTAGGTATTTATTTTGATGCGTATGCAGTTTACGTCAAGCCAGTTGTGTACTTGTTTGATGTATTATTTTGTAATTATAAATATTAGCACAAAAGCCACATATGTAAAGTAGAAGTCTTGCGTCCGCGATTTCGCACGCACATAAAGACCCGTTTCCTTAGAAATTTCAGATAATGCTGTCTTAGACTTACTTCCCAAAAATACCATGCCGATCATCGGTTTCTAGTTAAAACCTTGATGATATTACGTATATTGAGGTAAATAATATAAATATGGGTAATTCACTTAATAAAATTAACGTAGTATCTACTACCCAGAAAAAACAATGGTCACGCGTGACTTATTGCAGTGTCTCTTTATTTACCTTGTAAAGAATGTCAGTGTCATACCAACCGATGAATTAAAGCCATTTTTCGCCATTCACCTATGTATTTATTTTACTTTATAGTGGGGTATTAACTGTTTTCATTTCATGCATAAAGTGTTCTAATTCATGTCTGAAGTTCTCTTCAGAGGGAAATGTTTCCATCAAAATTTGCCAAATGGCAATTCTAAAAAGGACTGCTTATTTAACCGTACGTTTACTGCACTTACTACCTTGAATATATTATTAAAAGATAATGTTCGGAAGAAAATTTCAAGGAGGAAAAGAAACGAAAAGTAAATCAATCAAGGAAGACAGAACTTCCGCTTTGTGTCCTTGCAAAAAACTTGTCTTCAACATTATTTGTTTGGCTTTAAAAGTTCTTTAATCTTAAGGCATAAACAGACCACTAAAATGACCACTATTCCTTTGTAGCTTGTGAAAGTTAATCAGTAGTCCTCGATATAAGAGAAACTAAACATAAATTGCAATGACTCATGCTACCTACGTGCACAAGCCAATATTGTTTACCACATGAATTGAAATGAACCAAAAACAAACATGTCACTAATTGTTAGCTACTTCTAGGCAATGCTACATTAGGTACGATATCTAGTACCTACTATTATACTATCTTTTATATATAGTTTTATATATAATATATTTTATAAAGCTGAAGGTTTTGTTTGTTCTAACGCGCTTATCTCAAGAACTTCTGATGCGATTTTAAAGATTATTTTTGTTTTGGATATTCCATTCATCGAGGAAGGATATAGGCTATAAAACATCACGCTACGATCAATAGGCGTCGAGCAGAGCGGGTGAAATCGAGTATATGAACGCTCATATTCATGAAAGAGTAGGCAATACATAACTATCGCAACATGCGTATGTTACTACTCTTTTTCGTCTGTTTCCTAAGTTAATATTTCTCCGATTTTTGTAAGTAACGAAGAACTGGGTAATACAGTAGTTGACAGTTAGTCAAATTCAATACTTTTAATGAAATGTCAAAAACGATACTTTAATATGAATTTTGTATTAGATCATGTAACGTCATCATATTTCTGCGTCAAATAGCATACTTATTTCCTTAAAATTAGCGAGAAAAAATCAAAAAGTAGGTAAATCGTCAAATCAATAAATGAGTATGATTATTTTTTAATTATTTATTGCATTTAAAAGTCAAAACAATTTATTTTAAACTTAGGAAACTACCCAATTATAATTAATTACCTAGTTCCTTAATGTGTGTTTAAGTATCCATAATTCAATATTTAATTAGGTAATGTTATTTACTTAGATATTAAATAAATAATTACTTTTTCGGAAAAGCTAATTATACCTAATTGTATTCAATACGTACGTATGGCGATACTTATGAACAATATATTTATCATTCGTAGAAAGGTACTTACCTAAATTCCTAATTACGTACTTTATAAAAATCCTAATTAAGTATACCTAATTTCCTTTGTTACAGAAAATGATAATGTCTCATGCAGCCTCATAGCTATTCGAGTTTAAGTCACACGGCGTAATGGAGATTGCTTCAAGGTTCAATGTTTTATAGGGAAAGGTCATATAAGCAAAAGCGAAGGCATTGGAATTATTTGTTGTATTATTATTTAGTTTAATATATTTATGTTGATTTTTATACACGTGTTTTATTTACCTGTTACTTAGCAAATTGAAAAAAATATGTAATAAATAATAATAATGCATTATGTGAATATTATTTAAGTATCTATCACAACCATTATTTCGATCCTCATTAACGGTAGATAAGTTACAAAATCGAAATAATAAAAAACATGCCACTGTAATTTCGTGTGCGCGTAAAAATAACGTGCAAGTTATCGTTTACGTTTCGCATACTTCTCCACTTTGACCGACAACATTATGAATACTGATAAGCATTTGATAACGATAGCCTACACTGAAATTACGACGCCACAATTTCCTGATTTGCGTAACAAAGTACCTAAGTACTTACTGGAATTTTCGTCATTTGTGAAAATAGGTAAGTACCTAGAATTATCTATACTAGGTAGGTATCTGTTTCTCAGTTTCTTCTTATATTATAGGTACTGTATAATGTATACGTGGGTAATTAAAATTACTTCCTTGACCGAAATTGCAAACGTATCTTATCTTTTGCCACTTTGAAACCCCCTTCGTTTTAGCTTGTACACCATAACGTGGGAAATAAAAAATATTTAAAATTCTATTGTTATTGCAACTGCTACAAGTACCTACTATTACAATTTTACAACACATTTTGTATTACCAAAACGATTCTTTGTTTAAGACTTATCTCTTTAGTTATCGTACTGTGTAGTCTAGCCATTAAATTCCTTAGAAAATGGTATTTTACGCCGCAGAATGTCGAAACAAAGGCGTTCGTGTCTACCTGCGTCAGTGATCTAAATCCGATCAGGACAGGGTCAGCAGTTTTGTAAAATCTTTTTGGCTAAAAAAGGGCAATGAATTTTAAATACCACGCCGTGTGTCGATTCTACAAGAGTTCGTAGCTTTCTCCTTTTTAATGCTATATTTTTGTACATTATCATGATAATATGGATCGTAGTTCCCAAATTAAGAATTTACCTCGCAAAAATACCTTTTCAAGGTTCACGGGGTGACTTCTTTGTCCGTTGAAATACAAAGGCAACTTTGTATGTACCTAACTTCCTTTTTTAATAATAATTCTTACAACACTAGGCTGGTTAAAGTTCGTTGCATACAGCTGCCAGCTCCCCTACCCTTCGACCGTGGACTGAGCGTGAGACCGTTGGGGTGACGTCAGAAAATGGCCAAGTTCCAAGCAACCTGTTTCTTTCCAATCTATTGAATAACTACACAAGGTAAAACCAACCTAAGTGTTATAGTCAAAAGGTTGAACATTTAATGCATAGATGATAACGCGGACGCTTGTGATATTTAATGACTCAGAATAATGGCTCAAATCATTGACTAATATTATGATTCACTACTCTACTGTGTGTGACTGGAGTTTCAGAGAGCAAACGATTTTAAAGATGGGTGTGAAATATTAATTGATCTGAAAAGGCATTTCTTTTAATTCCATTTTGCACCACCCTAGACAAGTATAATGCACCTACTTAGCATGTTAAATACTTGTATAGGTACCTTAGTTACTTACCTAACCTACCTATAACTGCGAAATAAGATAACGCTAGTGCCGAACAAAGATTTTTTATTGAAACAAAAGCTATTGTAACCCGTAGCATCTATGAGCAGTTCATTTTAAAATAACACACAATATTTTTACATTCCTACCCAATGTTTGTTAATATGCACTCGTATTGTTAGAAGAAGCCATAGCAAGTCCCTTAGCTTATTTATAGGCATGTCTAATTCAATAAACAATGCATGTATCCTCCATAAATTATTCTTTGTACATCCATATTTAGTTTTATTCAGGGATATGCGACCAACGTGGTGTTTTTACAAAATCTTTCTACCTAATTCCTATAAATAGTACCTACATACTTACTTCAGTATTTTGCATTAACATAGGATCGTATTGTTAACGGTATTACTTGAGTGTTGACTATGTAGGACAGAATTAGAACCCTCATGTCGAGATAAATAATAGAATATTCCTTTACTTATATTGAGCTTACAGATGAATTATTATAAAAATTGATGTAATTGCTGTAGAGGTCACTTTCAAAACATGTCGATGACATTCGTTAAAGTGTTTTACTCGTTTATATTTCATTGGTTGGGTTATCAATTTCCCAAATTGTTTAAAAACCGTCTTAAAAATCCGTAATAAGTAGGTCCTATCTATTATCTATCTAATAACCGTTTATGCTGCTTTTGGTAGAATACCTAAGCTAAGGTAAGATACCGAGTATCGACATCTATTTCAGTACCTATATAGTTCACTGACACTGTCCTTATTTTTGTGTTATTGATGATATTCGGTCTCAAAACAATTTGTTTAAAATCACACGTGTCTTTTTCGTTTCTGATGTACCTAGGATGTATTTTATGGTTTAGGGTTTTATTTTTGATTAGATACAATAGGTACCTAAGTACCTATCCATGTGTATGCAAGTATGTGTACCTAGACAATTTTATACGTCATCGAAATATCTGGAGCCTGCAGGGGAGCTTGGCTCTGCCCCCGGCCCCCGCCTGTGCAACGAGGACAGAGGACTTTAACAAACTCCCCGACTCCCCTCATTTACCCCTCTCACATCTGCTTCGACCTCCCAAACGGGGCCTCTTGTTCGATCAATATCCTCTATTGCGCATACCGCATCGTGATCTCTCTTTCCCACATTTATGCATGTATAATTTCGTTCCAAAATATTGTTGATAGTTCTAGTAGACCAGTAGATTTTTCTACCTAACCCTAAAAATATATGATATAGATAGATATTATGTGGTATAATACACAATGAATACAGAATCTGATGTTACATATATAGGACATGATTTATTTTCTTATGTGTACATACGTAACATACGTATTTATTGAAGTGCATTCAACCTTTGCTAAAATAGTAGATACAATGTTCAAGATAGTACAGTAAATTGTGTGAGAATCCGTAATCAAAATTACCTACTTAATATTCACGTGGATATTAAAATATACGACGGAACCCTCGTGCCATCATATACAACAACATTTTCGAATAAACACAAAACGGTCGTAAGTTTTCGGTTATCATCGGCAATGTTCGGCCATTGTTTTGCCGTTGGAATGACGCCATTTTGTGGCCAACTGCGCAGTGCGGCCCCCCGCCTCAGGTTGAGTATAAAAGGCGGCCATGACGTCAAGCGCCCACATTCTAAAATCGTCTCGGGTGAAGTGCAGTTGTGTGGCTCCGCTGTGTGTAGTGCTGAAGATTCAAGAAGTGATATTTGTGCCTGGTCGGATACAGGTGTGTAGTATTGTCTCAACAAACAGTACTTTCTAGCCCGTCCTTTAAAAATGGGTTACAAGTCAAATGAAAAATCTATCGTTGACTTTTGTGAAAGTAAAACCGAATCCCTATCCAACTGGGTTCGCCAAGTTAAATCCAAATCCCTAGACGCCAAGACAAGAAGAAACCGTGATTTAAGAATAATCGCCATTTTGAGCAACTCTCTATCACGTGCGGAGAATGAGCTCATTTCCAAACAACGAGAGCGCGCCAGGAGGTGGGCTCAAATGCAAGCTGATCTTGGATTGCGCAACAAAGAAGAAGAAGTCGCCAAGCAACAACAAGAAAAAATTGATAATTTCTGGAAGAATGATCTCAGCGGCTTAGATAGTTTTTTTAGAGAATTAGATAATGTCAAGCCAGCTCCAAAATAGACTGTTTTAGGTAAAGTAAAGTTTTTTGTAACTGTGATATTATGTAGGATGTTTTTCTAAATTACAGTCCCATTGCGTTTCGCGTGGGCCTGCATCCGTCGGCCGCCATCTTGGTTGCCGCTGGGGCGCGGTCGCAGATAACTACAAAATGGGTTTGTAACGGTATCATGCATTTATTTGTTAATTTTTAAGTGTTTCAATTTATTCTCTCGCCTAACGATTAAATTGGAATTTTGATTTTTATTCATATTGAATAATATTTATTGTACATATGTTTAAGTATGGAAATAAATAACTTTTAAAAAAAAGGTCGTATCACTGAGTTTTTATTTAGCTTTTCTTACAAATTCACCACACAAACAATTATTATTCCATGAGTCATCATCGTCTACGTGGAGAACATGGCGCAGAGTTGCGTGCGATGGCGTGTTCGGGTCACTGTGAACGAGTATATGAGTCAGCTGTCTGCGGAGCCGCTGGCTTGGCTGCAGTCTGCGTACCGTATGCACTGGGGTGCTACCTGTCTGCTATACGACGTGCTCGCACGAATACGTCCCGGTTGTCAGCCCACTAGGTAACCGTTAGGTTGTTGGCGTGAAGGTTCCTTTCCATTTAGATAGTGCTATTGTGTGGCCCATACTCGGGCCACTGTTGGTGTAACATTATGTTTAGTCTCTCAGAGCCCTGCCAACCGTGGTCAGCAGCTGCCACAAACGACGAGGCAAGGCTTCAGACCTTAACCTCTACCGTGGTCTTGAACATCGCCACGGAAATTCTGCTTGGGATTATGTTTTCTAGAAAAGTTGGTGAGTCGCTTGTTTTCAAAACATAGTGGACATTGTGTACCTACCTATATTAAATCATGAAAATGAGTCACGATTCAAACTTAGAAGATTTAACAATAACATTAGTTAGGATATTTGTGCCATAATGATCTAGTAAACAGGAGTGAATGCACCACAATGGAATACCTATATCTTTGAAGAAGGAATGTAAACAAGAACGGAGGAGTGTTAAGGTTTAGAAGAGGTCGACTGTGTACCTGAGTAATGTCCAACAAGGCATATAGCATTGTGGCCTTGTCAAGCCCCTGCTTCTGCTGCCGTCAGTGTCGGCCCGGCGGCGTTTTGGGGCAACTTTCACTTTTAGGTAATGACTGGTTCTTATTTTTTTACGAATCAATTGGCATGCTGTCTTCTATCATTGTTTAGGAAAGAAATCTAAACGAAACTGAGAAAACTAAACATTCATCGGCATTTACTCGAATAACAAGCCAAACATAGGTTACGTGTTAATAAATATGAAAATTCATTTGTATAAAATGGTATCTATACTACACAAATCAAGAAGGAAAGCGTGGGCTGATGACTAAACCGGGACAATACCTACTCTAAACGAAACCTGACTGAATTCTATAAATAGCTGAGTAATGAAACTGAGGCCGAAAACATGAACGGATAGATTTTACGGTGAGTGGTCAAGACTAACACTGACCTCTGATGTTCTATAATAATGAAATGTTTCAAGATTTAGTTCTGTGCTTATAGCGAAAAGTAGATTTTATGTACAAATATTTATTGATTATTTGCAAACTTCACAGCTAACGACTGGACTGGGGCTGACGTGAGCGAGTATCACGCAATCCTATCACAAACGTTTGAAAAGCAAGGTGGTCCTTCCTAGTGAAGAAGGCTAACCCGGCTCCAGTTGATATTAGCGAGTGGAACGTCACACCCCATCCACAGATAAGTCTCATCGGCCGTACTCATTTAAGTAACAATGTATTGAAAAGTATTCCATGACCATAATATTCTACAGAAATAAAATTAGGGAAAGGTAAACAAATATAATAGGATACAAGTCCTACGAAATCAATAGTATGTAATAGGTAAGTCTTTTCAAATATCGTTTACATTTCTTAGTTTTTTTTTCTATAATTGACTCTGGTCGTGACAGATATAATTTATAAAAATACCGAAATAAGGACTTACTATAATTTTGTGTTACGAATTTAGCAGCTGGTAGGGTATAACAAATTTCTTTTTATTTCAGATTTTATTTCATAAAAATATGCTAAAATATATAATTATCCAGCAACTGATTAATCGCGACACCAAATAAACATTACATTTGAGGATCACAAATGATACTACAATAGCTACTTACATATTAGTATTTTGACGTACTTACCTATACAAATACTCACACCTAAGAAATTAGAAATCATGTTAAGATCTCATATCAGTCTTGAATAAAATTGAAGGTATGTTTTGTAACCAATCAACTTGAAAGTTCCATGAGGTATGTAGACATTCTGCTACGAATTTATATATTATGATAATACTGTATGAATGTACGATACAAAAGTTTTTCTATTTTGATTAACAGGTCTCTCTTGTCCGCAAAAACTAGGAAATTTATTATTTTAAGGTAGTCAAGTAAAAAATGTTAAACATTGCGAAATCGCCCAAATCCATAAAGGTCATTCTAAAATGAACTGTTTGAATATGATCTCGTGGAAAAGTACAAACGTTATGTAAACCACAAAACAAATAATACAACTTATATAGAAGTGCAGTTACTTAACATAATCTTCATAAGTGGATGGCAGTTCCCATTTTTGCAATTAGAATGTTTATCCAGCTAATGAATTATGCAATCCAAGAGACAGATCAAATTCACTTTCCACGATTTTTTTGTTTGCGACTCAAAACCTCAGTCAGAGTTGACGATATGGGTGGACCATAGGAGGAAATTAAGCAAGGTCAGATTAAAAACGACCTTCAGAAGCTAATCGCGTCTGCTAACGGTACGAATTATCAATATCTAATTATACTATTTATTGATTAACTTTTTGTATATCTTAGATTTTTCTGCTTGTCTCATGCATACAACTGTTGAGAAAAATCAATGTTATTAACCTTATTTCAATTGTTTTTAAATAGCTTCCTCACATTGTTTTACACATTAATCTTTTCAAGACTGCTGTGCAGTTTTGAACTATATAATCGCCCCTCTGTGTCTTGTCTGTTTAGGAGCAGGTTTCTTGGACGTATTGCAGATTCAAACATTGGCCCAATATTTATAATTACGAAAATAAGAATATGTTAAGTATAATACGGCGAGTAGCAAAATACAACAATTACCACTGTCACCGAGACAATCAATAAGAGGCACTTACGAGTGATTTTCCGTCACACTAACTACCTATACATCAGGATGAAATTCATAATATGACCTACCAGATGGGCTCTGTGAATCTGAGAACAACCACTAAATATTCAAGAATATTTTAATTATGATCTTATTTAAACGAAAAACATTGCAGTGTTAATTTTTAGTACATAATAAGGAAATGAAAACATCTACAAAAAGGACTATTCATTAGAATTCTATGGTAAAACTGAATCTGTACACCGTGTCTGCTTGGCAACCTGTCTCAAAACTAAAGGATATCCAACACCATTACTATATAACTTTCTCTTGAGGGACCATGAATTTATCCACTGTAAGATTTTGAAATCTGACAAAATCGTTGCAATTAATTGATATTATTTTGCGGTCACGCCGCTCTGCTATTTATTTGTGTGGTATGTATAAATTTATCAGGGTAATCTTCACGAACTCGGAGATGCTGTGACGTCGACGGTGTTAAAATATATGTATATCTTAAAATGCAAATCACGTATGGCCTTATGACATGATGAACGACCAACCGTCATGGGTTCCGGAGGATTGGAATTCCTAGAATTGATTCATCCAGGATGGTGATGTCGCCTTTACGGTATGTAAATGCGACATACATTTCTTTAGGCTTTTTATTTATTACTACATTATCTATTAATAATTTTTAACTTTTACCTAATTTATGGCTGTGCGACTAACCATGTCGCCGGTTTTGGTGTTAACTCTGCTCTCTTAGTTGACAGTATCTTCGCGTGACCACTCCACATATGCCAATTGTGCATTCTGACTAGACGGTCCATCGTGTATCGACAACACACGCTGACGTAGTAACCGCCCCTTTGCGACCGACTCTGTTACTCAACTACGTGGCTTCTGATAATGCTCAACAACTACAGACCCCCGATGCCAATATTGGCACCTTTCTCCTTTTCTTTTCTTAGGTCGTCAAGACCCTCCATTTCTTCAATGCTCGTTGACTACAAAACTACGAGTCGTCAATGATCGTTGACTTCGTGATCTACGAGTATCAATGCCCTTAAACTATAACAGACTTCAACGTGTCGTCAATGCTCGTTGTCAAAATGATTTCGACGTGCGTCAGTGCTCGTTGTCGACGAGTTATTTATGTGCGCCAATATGCGCTGACAACGTGATTGCTACGTGTCGTCAATGCTCGTTGTCGACGTGATTGCTACGTGTCGTCAATGCTCGCTGACGACTGGTTTCTACGTGTCGTCAATGCTCGTTGACTTCGTGATGTCAACGTGACGTCAATGCTCGTTGTCGACGTGATATCGACGTGTCGTCAATGCTCGTTGACGACGTGATCTCTACGTGTCGTCAATGCTCGTTGACGACGTGATCTCTACGTGTCGTCAATGCTCGCTGACGACGTGATTTCTACGTGTCGTCAATGCTCGCTGACGACGTGATTTCTACGTGTCGTCAATGCTCGTTGACTGCGTGACCTCGTCGTGTCAAGCTCAACAAACACGTAACTTGAATTCTCTACCTACCTTAGTTGGGTAAACTTTTTTACTTTCCTTAATTTCTTGCGCACGTTATTCTCAAACGTAATGGCCACATTTTATCAAAATTCTCATATTCCTTATATACGAAGGTCCAAATCCTTCAACAATCCAACTTTTGGACAATATTAGTCCAGTTAATTATTCTTCCAGTGCTATTTCCATCACACAATGGCTGAAGACTTCCAATACATGAGTAAAGGACAGAACCTGGTACTACTGATAATAAACTTTACATTGCTAAACAACTTCACCCATGCACTTGTACATTTTATGAGCGGATACAAACTAAACAAAATGCAAGCTGATGGCTGACCCAAAGCTGTTTGTCATGTAACAGTCGCGCCGGTGCGCATCCGGTATGTAGACTTAACTGTAGAAATTCGTTTCTAGTTAACCACTTACTCTAGATATATATTTTGCCGTAGGTAAAATAATGACTTCATTCAACAGACATC